CTATAGTGTGAATTGTAGACGTCCTGGATGTTCGATGGAAGGATGCAAAAGGAAGCATCACAGTTTACTCCACCGCAGTTCTTCGATCAACAAAGATTCCCAAAATAAAGATTCTCAAAACAAAGATTCAAAAGATGACGAAATTACTGTCCGTACAGGAATTGCTAGTGGTTATGTGTCGACTTCGATAGATAATCAAGTGACGTTACTACCTACCGCGATGGTCAATCTAGTTTGTCGAGACGTCACATTACCTGTGCGTGTTTTGGTCGACAGCGGAAGTGATCAGTCATATATTCGGGGAGAAATTGTTGACGCGTTGGGATTGGGCACGAGTGATTCTACAAAGACAATGACCATACTGATGCACGGTGGCCAGTCAAGAACAACTAGAGTGAAGAAGGCCAATTTCCAATTGTCAACACGTAACCAAAGAAAAAACATTAGCCTTCATGCATGGGCAGTTCCCACAGTTTGCTCCCCACCAGAACCCGCAGCCGTTGATTTGAAACGATACCCTCACCTAAAAGGCTTGGCGTTGGCAGATACAGATCCACGAAGCGGGGCGACGATCGATATCCTACTTGGCGCCGACCAGTGGTCCCAAATTATGAAAGGTGGTATCAGGAGAGGAGATTCTCAGAGTCCAATGGCCATGAATTCGGTTTTTGGTTGGCTCCTCTCAGGTCCTACTGGTGTCGAGTGGTCTAAATCTTGTAATGCATCGACCCACCATGCCACAACCAAGATCCTTGAAGATGATCCCAATTTTGTTTTAAAGAAATTCTGGAACCTGGAAGCAATCGGCGTGACCGAAGCTCCTAAAATTCAAAGTGCCGAGGAAAAATACGTCGCTCAACGATTCGAGGACAATGTGAAGTTTGATGGGCAAAGGTACGAAGTGTCGCTGCCCTGGAAGGAAGATTGTCCCAAGTTATCGAGCAACCGAGGACTTGCTCTAAAGCGACTCGCAAATGTTGAAGCGAAACTAAAGAAACAGCCCGAACATGCACGGATGTATAAAGATTCTATTAATCAATATATAAACGATGGTCATGCCAGACTAATAACAGCAGAAGATGACAAAGCTTATAGAATTCATTATCTCCCACATCATCCCGTATTCAGAGAGGAAAAATCTACAACGAAATGTAGAGCCGTATTTGATGCGTCTGCGAAAGGGCTAGAAGGAGTATCCTTAAACGATTGCCTTCTCCCTGGTCCAGCACTGCAACCTGATTTGGTGTCGTTGTTGATCCGCTTCAGATGTCATCGTATTGGAATGATGGCGGACGTTCGTAAGATGTTTTTACAAATCAAAATAGCTCCCGAAGATCAGAACGCACATCGTTTCCTTTGGAGAGATATGGATCCCAATTCAGAAATAAAAACATATTGTATGACGAGACTCCCGTTTGGCGACGTGAGCAGCCCGTATGAAGCGATAGCAACAATGCACCATCATGCTGACCAATGTAAAGTGGTATACCCTGAAGCAGCTCGAGTTATCAAAGAAGATACGTACGTGGATGATTGTTTAACCGGATGCGAAACTGAAACAATGGGCCGTAAACTTTATAGTGATTTGGTGGAGATGATGAAGATTGGAGGTTTTGATCTGTTAAAATGGGCAACGAATTCTAAGTCGTTGTTGTCCTATATTCCCGCTGATCAAAGAGCGAGTAGTCGGTTGGTGTGCCTTGATAACGATTCTGACCCTTTGAAAGCTCTCGGACTATCCTGGGACACCGTTGATGACGTGTTCTTATTTCACCAAGGAGATAAATTATTACAAACACCTGATCCTGAGACGAAACGAAGTGTCATTAGTATATCCTCCAAACTCTTCGACCCACTGGGATTTCTCAGTCCTTTCACAATTCGAGCCAAAATCCTTTATCAGAAGCTATGGATTCGTGGTGCGTCGTGGGTTGATTCACTTGATGAAGAAATCAAAAATGAATGGCAAAAGTGGAAAGAAGAACTTGAACATTTAAATCTCATTCGCATCAGTCGTTCGTTTCTGACAGGCCTTGGCCTTGAAATAGTCAGTGTCCAGCTTCATGGCTTTAGCGACGCAAGCCCGAGTGCCTACGGAGCTGTTATCTATCTTCGTCTTCAAGATTCTACCGGGAATGTGCAAGTACAACTCCTATTCGCGAAGACGAGAGTTGCGCCTACGAAAAGAATTACATTACCAAGATTGGAATTGATGGCGGCGTATTTGTTGTCAAAGATGATCACGTTCCTTCTTAAAGTCTTAGGAAAAAGGATCAATCAGTATATCTGTTGGTCAGACAGCACAACAACATTGAGCTGGATCCGTAGACCCAGCTATACCTGGAAGGTATTCGTGGCAAACCGGGTTCAAGCGATACAACAGAACACTGATCCAGAGTGTTGGCGATTTTGTCCCGGAGACACAAATCCTGCTGATTTTGTAACGCGTGGAGAGACATTAGAAAATTTGGCAAACTATTCCCCTTGGTGGAATGGGCCACAGTGGCTTTATAGGCCCCCGGTGAATGGCCCATTAATATAGTCGACAATGAATTGCCGGAATGTCCAGAAAGTAATCCGAAAGTGGTTTGTAACACAGCGGTATCCACCTTTCCGTCGCCATGCATTGATGTAGAAAGATCCGGACGTTGGATTAAGCTAGTCCGGATAACAGTATTCGTATTTAGAGCCGTAGCTTTGTTCAAAGGATTATTGAAACGGGGCGAATTGACGAAAACCATTAATCAAACCCCAGAAATCACCGCTGAAGAAATCAAAGAAGCTCAAACGTATTGGTACCAAGAGATACAGAAGGCGAGTTTTGTTGAAGAATGGCGCCAATTACAGAAGAAAGATGGACTACCTTCAAAGAGTCCCATTCGCAAGCTGAACCCTTATTTTGACGAAAACGATAAGCTAATACGAGTCGGAGGTCGCCTACAGTTTTCTGAGTTACCAGAAGAGACGAAGCATCAAATCATCTTACCGCAAAACACCCAGTCGTGGACAAGATAATTATTCATTCTCACGAAACCCAAGCCTTACATGCAGGTCCAGAAACAACTTTGGCTATTCTCCGAGAAACGTTTTGGATTCTTCGCGGTCGTCGTGCAGTTAAACGAGCAATCAATACCTGTCGCATCTGCCGAAAATTCCGAATTGGACCAGTCCAGCAGCAGATGGCACCCTTACCTGCTGAGCGAGTTACCTATTCTCCAGCTTTCACACACGTGGGGATTGATTTCACAGGACACTTGATTCTGAAGTCACAAAAGAAATCAGATAAAAGTCTTCAAAAGGCGTACGTTTGTATATTTTCCTGCGCTACCACCCGGATGGTGCACTTGGAATTAACGAACGACATGACAACAGAAGAATTTCTTCAAGCCTTACGTCGGATGTATAACCGTCGAGGACTATGCAATACGTTGTGGTCAGATAACCAAACTACGTTTAAGAAAGCTGAAAAAGATATCCAGTGGTTGTTCGAAGCTTCAAGTCAGAAAATGAATAAAGTATGGAAGAAATTAGACCCTTCTCAACTACAAAGAGAGACATCCTCAAAAGGAATCAAGTGGAAATTCATAATAGAAAGAAGTCCTCATCGTGGTGGTTGGTGGGAGCGAATCTGTCGTTCGCTGAAAGAACCTCTTAGAAAAATCTTGGGGAAAGCTCTGTTGACCTATACTGAAATGTATACTGTTTTAACCGACATTGAAGCAGTTATCAACTCGAGACCTCTCACGTTTATCGGTGATGATATTAAAGACGGTCAAGCTATCACACCAGCACACTTGGCATTAGGACGGAGCTTGAAAGCTATCCCAGATGTAACAATTGGGTCAAGTCCCATACCACCAGTATCGTCAAGATTTTTGTATCGACAAAGTTTAATTAACCGTTTCTGGCGGAGGTGGCTGACGGAATATTTACCACAACTGACGATTCGCCAAAAGTGGTTGGAAGAGAAACCACCGTTAAAGGTTGGAGATGTTGTGTTGATGTCAGAGGACAATGTCAAACGCGGAAATTGGCCATTAGCTATTGTTCAAGAGGTACACATGGGAAAAGATGGCCTCATTCGTACAGCACACTACAGACTAAGTCAGGGCAAAGGCGACGATCGGTACAGAAGTTATATTTATTGGAAGAAGCTCGCAGCGTAGAGGAAGACTTGAGAAATATGGAGAAAGTAGAGCAGAGTCAAAGTTTAGAGATTGCCCCGGAGATATGCGATCAGAAAATTCAAAAGCAAGCTGTCCAAAGAAAAAAATTAGGCAATGTACCGAATTTAGACACTAAGTGTCAAGGCGGAAAGAATGTAAAGTATTCCCGCTTTGGGCGTGTGATAAAGGCCCCAAGTAGATTGGGGTCGTGATAAACAATATTTTAATTAGCATTAGTATCAGTATTGACAATTAGTGTGTTTAATGACTGTGACATTTTTTAACTATATGCAAAAATTAACTAAAAAATATGATTATGTGTGAATAGATAGAGAAGGACGATTACATGTAAAATAAAAGATATATTTTCACAGGCTAGAAGCGAGAATTTAAGTACTTTTACAGACGGTACTTCGCTGATTTTGTGACAGAATCGAAATCGCGTCGTTCCAGAACGTATGGTAGTAAAATAATAATAATATGGATTATTTTATTGATGCCTTACACAGGTATATAAAATGATAATACAGAGGTACATCGACTATTTATCAACGAGAATCATTTAATTAGTAATATTTGTAATGACTTAAACTGAATATACACCGCCCTCACGCATGAAAAATGCTTGTAAATGCAGCTTTTAAGGCATGTTTTAAATTTGCTACTTCGTACTTTCACGATTAGTTTGGCCTACGGATTCTAAAATATAAACACTACTACTCATGACGGCAGATTTGCTAAATGCTTTACGCTTCATTTGATCAGATATAATTGCAAATTTCTATCTCAAGTAACATGTTCATTATTTCATGTCATTTATTATTTCATTTTCAGATTCACCAATTCACAAAATGAGAAGTCTCGCCATCATAACTGGCATATTTTTTGTTTTATGTTTCGTAACAAGTCATTGCGCAAGTAAGCCTGATATAATAACGTTTATTCACTTAGACATTATTTTGGTTCTATGCACGGCTAACCAGTTTGTTCTCTTTTTATTGTTATACATTTGATAAAAGAAATAGCAGCGCAAGATGACTTATTCACTATTATTTTTATTTAGCCCTATAATTAGTCGTCTTGGGGGTATATGGTTTAAAATTTTGCACAGGAAGTTTAAAGATAGCTCCAAGTCTTCAACAAGTTGTGGCATCTAGCATATTCTATTATTCATTCCTTATTGACTAAAGAACGCTAAGTACGCCATGCAGTGAATTATTCAAACAAGACAGGCCAATGAGAGACCAGTATATTTCTCTAGTCAATCAGAAAGCTTGAACGTTGCGAAAATTAGTTAATCCCCCGCAAATCCCAACCAAACAGCTCGAAGACTTTCAGTAAACATTAGTTTATAGAACCGCGCATCAATTGACAGAGGCTTCTGTTTTCAATTGTCTACTCCCCCTGCCCGGCGCCCTTATCCTACCCTCAAAACGAGAAAAGTGGCTTTTTTGAATAGCCATACGCTTAAGGATTGCTTAAAGGATATTATAATTAAATTTAACATGGACTGCTCGACCGGTTTTCTCATTAATCTCATATTATACCTATAGAGAATAATTATTATGGATGCGCGGAGGTATGGAATTTATTTCAAGTGTAGCTAGAGAGCGATATCCAGCGATATTTTCCAAGCATACATGTATTTTTGTTTTTATTATATAATATAAATCACTTTTCATAAAAGGTTTTAACCACCAGGGTCCATATACCTTCTTTCTTGGTGGTTGAGCAAACCTGATAATCGCACAAATGTGTTATTACCACGAATAATCGCTCATTGTTATTGTCAGTAAACACTACAGATTTTATAATAAATTTGGCCCTCTTATGAAATTATATAAAATGTACGACTACCATATTGACCTGATGTATTTCGCTGTTTTCTAAGATTCAACAGTGAGGTTACAAGGTCCATCAAGTGCAAATGGTACCGGTCGTGTAGAAGTATTCTATCGTGGAGAATGGGGAACAATCTGTGATGATGGATGGGATTTGAGGGATGCTAGGGTAGCCTGTCGTCAACTAGGGTATAATGATGTTGTTCGAACTCTTCAGAGAAAAGAGGTTCCTGATGGTTCAGGCCAAATATGGTTATCTCACGTCTCTTGTACCGGCAATGAGCAAAATATAACAAATTGTTCTCACGGTGGTTGGGGAAGTCATCGTTGTTCACATAATAAAGACGCGGGAGTTAAATGTACAAATACAAGTAAGTAATCAAAGTCATATTCGTAAAATATTCTTTTGATTTTTTGTCGTCGTTTTCAGAGCCAGGCAATGTTGTATAAGGTCCCAAATTTTATAAAATCTTTGAGATTTTTATTAAGGCAGTGTATGAGAGGTTACTCCATGGTTGGAGAATGTGTATGCTTTCTGTTAAAAAATGACTAACCGACTGACTTGTATGTAATTTGATTATTAATTTCTTAGGTGAAATAAAAAAATAAATAAATCGAAATAAAAAAATCGAAATATTTTGCAATCAAATCAAATTCATTACCGTCCAATTTCCTCGTAGTTTTGTTTAAATGGTCTTACATACTCTTTCTAAAATATTAGACTCTCATAAGCCGGAGCAAGAAGTCCTAAAGCCGACCATATGGGCTATCAAACCTACACTTGTTCTAGGGATAAGGGATCTATTCCGATAGACAAAGCATTTTGTGCACTCATGAATTCAAACAAAAAGCATCCCCGATTCCCCTAAGATAAGTGTGAAGCAGGCCTTGATCATGTTTCTATCTTGACCTTCCACTGCCAATTACCTCATTTCTTTTCCACCGTAATTGTAAGTGATGCACAACAAAACTTATTTAATGCTTCAGTTAGGTTGTTGCCAGTTGTTTTAATCTTAGTTAACTTTAAAAACGACCCGAATGATCTCATGCATTCTGCTATTTTTTAAGATTTTACTGGTATACCAGTGAGACTGAGATTACAAGGACCATTAAGTGCAAATGGTACTGGTCGTGTTGAAGTATTATATCATGGACTATGGGGAACAATCTGTGATGATGGATGGGATACGAGAGACGCTAGGGTTGTGTGTCGTCAACTAGGTTATAAAGACGTTGTACGAATTGTTCAGAAAAGCGAGGTTCCTGATGGTTCAGGCCAAATATGGTTATCCCACGTCTCGTGCACGGGAAATGAGCAAAATATAAAAAGTTGTTCTCATCGTGGTTGGGGAAGTCATCGATGTTCTCATCGTCAAGATGTAGGAGTTGAATGTACAAATACAGGTAAAAGTTAGCGATAAAGTTGTCCAAAAATGTTGCTTAGAAATTCTCACTATCAATTCTCAATGAACCATAAAGAATAATTTACATGTTTATAACGTCGTTTTCAGTGCCGAAGTTTAATGAGATGTAATGTGTGGTTAAAAATTTTGATATCTTTTTTGAAAAAATCCTAGTTTTATGCAGATTTTCTAAGAATTTGATTCTCGTGGAGCAACTAATACAGATAAAAAATAGAAGTTTCTAGAAACAAAACGGTTTTGAATGCCATTTTTCTTATTATCCTGGGTTGATAGAAAAGCGGTCATAAATGTCGAATTACGACATATTTAGGTAAGAGGGGAAAAAAATCACATTTGAATAGATTATTATTCTTAAAAGCCTGTATATAGTTATTGCATTATTGGGTCTGACGAACGACGATCTGTCGACATTAATTTTTTGCTGCAATAATTGGTTTTGACTTTTACTGGATCTTTCACTACCTTTTAAATTTCAACGCTAAACCAAATTAAAAATGATATACAAAACAAAATTTATTCAGCTAATGCTTCTATTAATTTGTTTCCACTCCTTTCATCTCAGTAAATTTTGCAACTACATGAATAATCTCATCCATTCCTCTACTTTTAAGATTTTGCAAGTATACCTGTGAGACTGAGGTTGCAAGGACCATCAAGCGTGAAGGGTATTGGTCGTCTTGAAGTATTGTATCGTGGACATTGGGGAACAATCTGTCGTTATGGCTGGGATATGAGAGACGGTAGAGTTGCATGTCGTGAACTGGGGTATAAAGATATTGTTCGAACTCTTCAGGGAAGAGATGTTCCTTTTGGGTCGGGTAAAATATGGTTATCTGAGGTCCATTGCACAGGAAATGAGCCAAATTTGACAAGCTGTTCTCATGATGGTTGGGAAAATCATTATTGCACGCATGATGAAGACGTTGGTGTTGAATGCACAAATACACTGTCAGGTAAAACGTAGCCATGAAATCCAGTCGGTTGTCGTAAAATGTTGACCATTTCCCCTCAGATCGAGGCGCTGGCAAGGCCCAACTCCGCGTGATACATAGTTAGAAAGGAGCAAAATCTAATGAGAAAAATCTTAGATTTACGACAACCAGATTGACCGATTATTTTTTTTTAAATTTTACAGCTATACCTATAAAACTGAGGCTACAAGGTCCGTTAAGTACGCGTGGTACTGGTCGTGTTGAGATATTATATCATGGCTATTGGGGAACAATCTGTGATCGTGGATGGGATGTGAGGGACGCTAGGGTTTTTTGTCGTCAACTTGGTTTTCAAGATGTTGATAAAACTCTTCAGGGAGGCGAGTTTCCCTTTGGTTCAGGCCAAATATGGTTATCCAACGTCTCTTGTACTGGAAATGAGCAAAATATATCAAGTTGTTCTCACGATGGTTGGGGAACTCATGACTGTTCGCCTTTTGACGACGCAGGAGTTGAATGTACATACACAGGTAAAAAGTTAGCGGTCAAATCGAACCGATTCTCGTTAAATTTTGCATCTTTTTCTTTCCATTTTGATGTCACTGTTCTAAGGCCACATGCCATCTTTGATGCTGTCAAATAATAAGGAAATCGGATGATTATTATTTGCTATTTCATGGCCATTTGATATTCCATATCACATGGTCAAGACTACAGAGTTCGATAATTACAAACGCGACTGCAAAGATAATTCTTTGAGAGTATCGATTTGCTGTAGAAATACATTGTTCGCAAACCTAAACGAATCCGGCCCTTAGTTATAGTTCGGCATTACAGATGAAGCAATAAGAGTTGTGAATGAAATGACATCACTGCAATACGTTACTGCTAATGTGAATTTGAATATAAGTTCAGTTTTGTGAGGGACCTGTATATTGCTACAACTTTAAATCAACCACATGATGCCACAATTTGTGTGTTTGAATTTTTAATCTCATTTTCTTTGAGCTACGGCTACTATTCCTCATAAATTCTTCGATTTTTTTAAATTCCTGCTTTACACCGGGTAAAAAGCAATAAAAAAACAAAAACCTGCCCCATACTCTACGTAGGTCTGAAGGCTTGTAATCACTTACGACTACTCCATTAATCTCATGTACTCCACTTCTCTTTTAAGATTTCATTCCCGTGAGGTTGCAAGGACCATCAAGTGCGAATGGTTCTGGTCGTGTTGAAGTATTCTATGGTGGAGAATGGGGGACAATCTGTGATGATGGATGGGATATGAGAGATGCCAGGGTTGTGTGTCGTCAGCTTGGTTTTAAAGATGTTCTGCGAACTCTTCAGGAAAACGAGGTTCCCGGTGGTTCAGGCAAAATATGGTTATCTGAGATCTCTTGTACCGGAAGTGAGCAAAATATAACAAGTTGTTCTCACGATGGTTGGGGAAATCATCCATGTTCGCATAGTGAAGACGCAGGAGTTGAATGTACAAATACAGGTAAAAACGATCAAAAACATTTTATTTTATTAGTGACGTAACCCGCGTTATCCACAGCTCCTCCTGACCCGGAAAGGTTTTGTGCGTGACCCACACGATTCGACCCAACGAGAACTGGATTTCTAATTGTATTTTTTTGTTAATCGGTTAACTGTTCTAAGACCACACGCCATCTTTGATGCTGTCGATAATAAGGAAATTGGACGATCATTATTTGCTATTTCATGGTCATTTGCTATTCCATATCACATGGTGAACTCTACAGAGTTCGATAATTACAAACGCGATTGCAAAGATAATTATTTGAGAATATCGATTTGCTGTAGAAATACATTGTTCGCAATGTACGAATCCCGCCCTTAGTTATAGTTCGCCATTACAGATTAAGCAATAAGAGTTGTGAATGAAATGATATATTACTGCAATACGTTATTGCTAATGTGAATTTGAATATAAATTCAGTTTTGTGAGGGACCTGTATATAGCTACAACTATAAATCAACTATATGATGCCACAATTTGTGTGTTTAAATTTTTAATCTGATTTTCTTTGAAAATTGGGCTACGGCTACTATTGACCTCATAAATTCTTCGATTTTTCTAAATTCCCGCTTTACATCGGGTAAAAAGCAATAAAAAACAAAAACCTGCTCCATACTCTAAAGAGGTCTGAAGGCTAATCACTTACGACTACTCCTTTGATCTTATACACTCCACTTTTCTTTTAAGATTTCATTCCCGTGAGGTTACAGGGACCATCAAGTGCGAATGGTTCTGGTCGTGTTGAAGTATTCTATCGTGGAGAATGGGGGACAATCTGTGATGATGGATGGGATATGAGAGATGCCAGGGTTGTGTGTCGTCAACTTGGTTTTAAAGATGTTCTGCGAACTCTTCAGGAAAACGAGGTTCCTGGTGGTTCAGGCAAAATATGGTTATCTTGGATCGCTTGTACCGGAAGTGAGCAAAATATATCAAGTTGTTCTCATGATGGTTGGGGAAGTCATCGATGTTCGCATCGCGAAGACGCAGGAGTTGAATGCACAAATACAGGTAAAAACGATCAAAATCATTTTCATAAAAATTAATATTGTTTTAATTCGTATATATTTTCAGTTAATATTAGTGAATTATTTGACCCTTATTGACGACGTTTCAGAGCCAGACAATGTCGTGCCTTGAGAAACACCAAATTTTATTTACTCTATGTCATGTTCTGAAGTGTGTAACTATATTATAGTTGCACGTTTCCGCATGTTTTACACTAAATGTATCGTTATTTTGGTAGATGTGAATTAAAATTTTGCTGCAGTAATTGATCAGACTTTTGCTGTAGGTCCTTTCACTGCCAATGACCTCAATGATTCCTCTATTTTCTTTTAATTTCAACGTTATACCGGATTATGCAAAGTGATACAAAATAAACCTTTTTAATACTTAAGTTATTAGGTTATTTTCACTTGCTTTGTGCCAATTAGTATTACAATTATCTGACTAATCTCATGTATTCTGCTATCTTTTAAGATTTTACAGGTATACAAGTGAGACTGCGGTTGCAAGGACCATCAAGTGAAAATGGTATTGGTCGTGTTGAAGTATTATTTCATGGGCTATGGGGAACAATCTGTGATGATGGATGGGATATAAAAGATGCTAAAGTTGTGTGTCGTCAACTTGGTTACGAAAATGTTGTACGAAATCTTCAGAAAAGTGAGGTTCCTTCTGGTTCAGGCCAAATATGGTTATCCCACGTCTCGTGCACAGGAAATGAACCGAATATAACAAGTTGTTCTCACGGTGGTTGGGGAACTAATTTTTGCTCGCATGATAAAGACGTCGGTGTTGAATGTAAAGAGAATCATGGTAAGAATTTTTTTAAGTTACAGAAACTACCACAGAAAATCCAAGTAAGTCTAGAACATGTTAGATTGAAGTAGAAATGCTCTGTTTCGAGCAAATTTTGTAATAAAGTTGTAAATGAAATGACATCACTACAATACGTTACTGCTAATTTGAATTTGAATAGGTTCAGTTTTGTCAGGCACCTGTATATAGCTACTTTAAATCAACAATGCCACAATTTGTCTATTTACATTTTTAGAAGGATCAAAATCGAACAGCGTTCAGTGGCCAATATTTATGATAATACCAGCAGTCATCATCGCTGGGATTATCATTGCCTGTATTTCGTTATTTTATCGCAGTCGATGGTTGAAAAGAAATACTATTGCACCAGATTCCACAACTCAAAATACAATTAGAAATCCAGTCCTCGTTGGGTCGAATCGTGTGGGTCACGCACAAAACCTTTCCAGGTCAGGAGGAGCTGTAGATAACGCGGGTTACTTCACAAATGACAATACTGGGATGTGATTAGTTAAGATTTGCGCAGGTTATTCATTGGTAGTACACTTCACAAGAAAATTGTAGATTTCGAAAAATATAACTTTTAAAGTTTTAGAATAGCAGTTACGCTGATTCAAACAAAAATTTGGATGGCGAAAAACAAACCATGACGATTTTTATTATTAGTATTATTAAAAATTTATTTAAACACGGTAGCCCTTCAGCTAGAGCTGATTTTGAAGGGGCCGTTTGTACTATTATAATACATTAGTTAAATAAAAAAAATTAAACTAATATCTATAGAAAATATTTACAGTGTGACATCAATTGGTACATAAGCTTGTGCAATAATTTGTTAGAGAGATTCCAAAATAAGTAGTCAACATTTGCTTATGATTGTAAGTTAGCTCATTTGGTAAATTGTTCCAGGCACAGGCTCCTCGAACGTCAAACTTCCGTGAATTGAACGTCTAACTTCCGTGACATAGTATCATAGAATCTTCAACTTTGCATTTGGCGTTGTTCCGTTAAAATACCTGGTGATAATGATTTTTCGGAGTGTGATTTTTTTCTTGTATTTTATTAAATTGTTTGCTGGTAATGTTATTTTTACTTACATTCATTAGTCTCTTATTTTTTCCTTGTACATGATCATTGATTCATTGTATAGAACCTGTTCATGTCATAGAGCTTAATATGCGTAGCGAACAAATGCTATTGCCTGATTCAAAATTAATAAAGTTTTCCCTACATTATCCCAGGCTACATTACTTTCGGATAATAGGCATTATCCAACATGTTATTTCCCATGACTGCCAAAGAAAACGAATCCATGCTGATAACATGTATTTTTGGTATGAAAACAAGTGCATATCAAATTTCAGCTTAGAAAAAAAAGAATCTCTCAATATTTTGGCCATTTCAGATGTGTTAACTGAGGGCAACATTGGGCAGTGAGGAACAAAGACAAAATGTGTGTAGCTTCTTAGATATCTTTATAAAAACCACATAAATTACCACTTTTACACTTGAAAACAGGGTTCTCAACAAACAGGAATCACAGCAGTTAATTTCAGGCAAGACTATTTCACCCCATATAACTTCATTCTATGTGAAATGACTTGTCACTTGAAATGTAACAGTAAAACATAAATGGATATTGCATTTTGCGCACTTCACTATTGTTATCCCGTTGCATCCAGGAATTCTGCATCTGTTCTTCTTGTTAGAGTACTCTGGTCAATGCCCTGTCGCATCAAGGCGTACTGAGGAATTCAGAATTGGGGCTGTGGGGCCTTTTTTTTCTTTTCCAAATAAGCGGTTTCGATTGAACAAGATGCTCTTCGCTTCTTTCCACCGTCTACTGTTTTCCCTCAGTAAAGCAGACTGTTAGCAATAGATAATTGGAACAATTTCAAAGGTAATGGTGGAGAGGTCAAATTCTGTTGCTTGTATAGTATCTAAGCTTGAACAACACTGACATCTAGAAGATACCATAAAAGGCAATGTACCACTTCTATTGGAATGCGGTAGTAACTAAACAATCCATCGACCAAATCTACTCCTCCAAGATACTTGTTATATGTTGCTACTGCTGACTTATCCCAACGCTTCACTTCTTTCACTGGCTCAATAGGTGGTAAGAAGGATAACTGCCCTATTGTCAAACCACTTCACTCCTCGTTACTCAACACCATCCGACTGGACAACCTGGATAACACTTGTTGCACGCCCCTTCTTGTTCTTCATTTGGGTATGTGTTGGCATATTGTAATTAGACAGGCGGTTGGTTTTTATAGTACCAAAAATAGCAATATCCTGTTCACTGTTAATGATATACCTGTGTAACAATTATCAACAAATAACTTATGCCACTTCTGCATTTGGAGATTATATAAGAGGTGAAAACTATGTTTCCAGTTGCTCCAATATCTGGTTGACCAGGGCAAACTTCGATCTTTCCTGTATGGATAACGAAGTTGTAAACAAGGTCATTTTCACCTGTGGGAATGTAAAATTTGTTGCCTATTTCTTCGGCTTCTTTGAGTTGTACTGTTTCAGTTTTGAGCGACCCTTGAATGGCAACATTTGCTCATCAATGCAAAAGAACTCTGTATAGAATAATATACAGCTTACCGATAGATTGCTCGAACTCATTTTTTATTATTCGAACAGGCTTGTTAGGCTTTACTTGAACAGAAAATTTGTTGGCCAGTTTCTTCAGTGATAATTGTCAAGATTTGGTCTTTTATGATAGATGTTAAAAAATCCATTGTTTTCACATGATCTACTGGCCCCATTGCATCACCTACATGTGAAAGGCAATTTCGTGATGTCCACTTTACTGGCTTTCATTTCCTTCTATTTCAAAAGTGGTAACTTTTTTCTAACTTTTTTAAAAGAAACAAAAACAAACAAATAAGTATTTTTTGCACTGATCAAAGATGGCTATGGCTAAACATTCACCATGGGATCTATTCTAAATAATTTTTTATATTCAAATACATTATATATATCTAAATGTATGTATGAGTACAAAAACAAAAACACAAGCACATAAACATCCATGTATCACCCCAATCATGTGTGTATTATATGTATTATAAATGAAAGAAACATGAGTCTTACTGTGTGTTTCATTTTGAATAGCATCTGCATCATCATCAAGTTCAATTTTCTCTTCAGTCTCATTCCCCATGTCTGAAGGACTGTCACAACTACTTTCGTCTGCTTGTTCTTCATCTTCTGTTGATAATTCACTATTTTCTGACCAGGTCAGGTGGAGATGAGGGTCTAGCTCGAGCCGGATTGTCTCATTTTGCACGGTTACTAACCAATCAAATTGCGTGTTTCATCGTCGTTATTATATAATACACAGTTCCGAACGCGAGTAACGTGACGTAACGCGACTCGAGAGTAAAGGCGGCCGCACGCGAGAGCTGTCTGCTGAACTAAAAGTCACTCGTGAGCATAAACGTGAGCAAATCCCCAAATGTGCGGGGAAATTTTGCAAGCTTTTGTTCACTCGTGCTATTTGCACTGAATATTTACATGATGAATAATTTGGTGCATGAGTTCATAGTTCCTCCACGTTTGCGGTAACAATAGATAATGAGGCATCTCAAGTGATTATCTATTGTTCTTGGTGCGTTCAGCACATGAGAAATATGACGTTTGAAACAGGCCTTATTGTCCTCACAAAAAGGTTTGTATAAATTAACAGACAGTCGATTAATCGGAACGCATCCGCGTAAAACCGTTTAATCTAACGGCTTCTTACATTATAGTTTGGCTAACATTTTGTGAATACGTATAAGGTTTCTTACAAACCCGACTAAAATTGTTCTTTGAGACATCGGACCGACGATAAATATCAATTATTTGCGGTGTGATAAAATAACTTCAGAACGAGAGTCTTTAGGTCAAATACCCTGTGGTCATTCGCTTACCCCGTGGTTGTGTTGTTAACAGCTCAATACAATGCGTAATCGCCAAACGGCTATAAGTCAGTCAGTAACGGTGAGTTGATAACTTTTTGTTATTCATATTATGTCTTGGATTTTGGGTCAGGAATTTGTGTGGCGGTATTTTGAGCGGAGACATCACAACAACAGTAACCATGCATTACATCATGTTTGTGGTTTATCCTATTAAATTAAAAATCACTAGTCTAACAGTATTGTGTTAATTGACACAATGAGAAGGCACGGAGAGCCAACTGTAATAAATACCACAACTATTTATGAGAGGGCTGAAAATAATCAGGGTAAATGCTGCGAGGAGAGCCGGGCCTAGGAGCGTAGCGTACAGTTGTGTGTTGTCAGTACGCCCCCAGTTTTGGAAAGGTGGTCGGTGAAAGACGACATTGGTGAGTAAGAGCAGCGTCGGTAAAAAGTACTATAAATCCTATAATCCTATAATCGTGCTATAATTTGACAAGTCATCGCCCTCGTCTTTTGATAAATCGTTTTTAAGGGACAAAAGAGATTCTCGAAGGATTGCATGTAATGTCCAATCAATAATTATGTACACTTCTAAAGACGCATAAAATTTGAGGCATTTCAACCAAAAATTCTCTCATCACATTTTCAAAAACAATCGGTTACTCGTTGCTTATATGCCTTTTTTTAGACTCATTTCTAGGTTGTGCATTTCTGTATCCCTATCGAAGAGGGTGGGCCGGGAGAAGGGGGTTATGGATTGAAAACTTGGGCGATCAATTCAAACAACGGAAGAACCTCACAAACAAGAAACTCATGGGAAAACTGTGGTATTTCATGCATCTGAGAGCAGTATTTCTCGATTTCTAAATAGAGAAGATTACTGAAGGTTGGTGGTTGCCATTAGTTTCGACAAGGGTGTGATTAGATGCGAACCATATGTGAAAACCAATTGCAGTTATTTTGCGAAGTTAATTGACGACAACTTCGAAACAATGTTTTCAAGTGTGCAAAACAAAGAACCAGGTCGGGTATGGTTTCAGGATGGATAACCGAGTCAAAACCCAACGATGTCCCGCGCAGCTATATAAAACGTGCAAACTATGAACTTTTAACTGATTACAAATTCCTCTAAGAAGCTCTGACCTGCACCCAATTGAGAACATTTTCAAATTAGTTACAGATGTGTTGCGTTAATAACTAACAAACAATCTAATTGAGCATCACGAAGGAGATCTTGGAGGAATTTTAACTTAGATTAATATCAAATTCAAAACAATCTCGTCAGACAGCTGAACCATACGAAGTCTATTTGAACACAATCAATTGGCGGAGCGTAGAAATACCGAAGGTAAGCAATTCGATTGTCAAAACGTTGTTCGATTTATTTATACAGAGGTCGACTAACAGTGGTCGAGTTACAGGGTGAAGGCGATATTACAGCTTGTACTTTACTATAATCTATGTATTTTTTAGTAAAATTTAAAAGCCATTATGTTAAAGGTGGGTTACAGACACGGTAATGTAAACAAACACTTTGTTCACATTTTGAATCGCTATATTCTCTCGTCCTCGGAATATTTATTACGATTTCAGTTACTATATTTCTATAAAGCAATAAAAGATTGAGTTCAGTTATGTTGAAAGAAATTCAAATCATGCGAAATTTGGCTAATTTCTAAATCATGGAGTCCGTTCTCCAATGTTATGAGCAGAACAGATGTGAAGGGCCGCTGTAATTGCAAATTAGTATAGGTACATATATATATAGGCCTCCGCACGACACTCATCATGTCGTAAATTTCTGGTAATCAGAACATAGAATAAGTGAACAACCAGTTTGAAATTCCCTTAATTAATTAAATTGAAAGTCAATCCGTTCTGTCATTGTTTCGCTCCTAACAAAGGAGGGTCCTCCAAATTTCGTGCGTTTATCATTTTTCTGCACGTACGCTCTAATATATGATCATTGCATTTAGAAGCGTGTAGCACTTAGCACAGACATAAGACATTGCATTTTAAAAAGTATTGAAGTTCAAAATGTAAACAAACCGTTTGTTTACATACGGACTTGACTTTTCAACATTTTTAGCCATGCTTCGCTTTTCATCGACAAACATACGTAGACTATAATTAGCACATAATAAACGAAATGCACGATAGTAAAAACGAAAATTACGAAGCGGCAACCTATTGCGAAATTGAGCTTATTAATTGACTGCATACCAAACATTTCCACTTAGGTCTTAGCACTAATAAAACAGAATATAGGGTTACTACCACACAGCGCGTGATTGCATGCAATTTTCTAAAATCATCTGAGGCAAGTTTTCCTTTATTGCAACTCTTTTATATGCTTAACTATTAAAGAATTTTTTAATTTAATTTGTCAAGGAGTAAGCCTGTAAGGATCGGATTATCGTTCTAATATACTGGTTCTGGTTCATTGATTTCTAGAGCAATTGTTAATTATTACCAATAGGCTAATAAACCCTGAGCGAAATTTTTCACACGTACTGAAATGACACGTTTTAATGGTTGCTTTCGAATGCATGATTTCGAACAATGGCGTATTCCCAAAATGCGATTTGTAAAGTTTAATCTTCTGTAATATAAGGAATATAACCTGCCGTCGTATCACCTCTTTCAGCAATAATTGTGTCTATGACCTCTGTCCTTAAATCCTGACTTAATCTCTGGATTGTAACTTTTTCCAAATGTGTTTACTTCTAACACATTCATTTTAATTAATTATACTTGCATGTGTGTAACTAGTGATGCCTACATGGCATGCACTATACTATTAAACTACGTTTAGTTTATATGCAGGTTTAAACCATGAAACGTGTCGTTTTAAGTGTGAAACGTTTCCTTTAGCGTAGCCAAACGTTCGTTCAGCATAAGTTATTGTCTATATTGTTCAAGGTTAACATGAATGTGTCATGGGTGTATTTTTTAACTCGAACAACGATTAAAAGTACGTCGTGTTTTAAATTTAAACGTAAACAAACCCGTGAGATATTTCAGTAATTACACGCTTCATATACAGTTGAACGCAAATGGTAATAAAAGTCTCCAGTTATGTGAATTTAAGTTTCAGTTAATGTCACTAATTGGTAACCAATTTCAGGAAAAAAAATCTATCGTTATATTTCGTAATCAACATTTTCTGCTTGGCTCGAGAAATGCCAATCTTATGCGGTTGCTAAGGCACTTTTTATGAATTCGTATCATATTACCTTACGCTCCCTCTATATATACATGCATAGGTATCTTATGTAATTCAGTGGTATTTGGAGCCAAAACGTATTTGAGATCTGATATGCATATCGTATAAATCATTGGCATTACTAGGGGTTAACGCCACTGGTCACTTAATAACAATAAACAGTAAAGCGAGACAGTGCAGACGGAAAAGTCGATCATATTCAATACAGATCACTAAATCGTGAACCAGCAGTGTAGTATATACGGTATGTACATGCACAATCTTTCTGATAGAATTATAGCTGAGGCTGCATGTACCTTCTACTTTCCGCGGACCTTACGGTTATTGATTGCTAAAACGACGAGCGATTATTCTGTTACCGTGTGGCGACTTTTTGTTATCACTTATTTATTATATCTTCATGCATCCTACGCAATTTTTCATGTAGGATTTTAATTCTAAAATGTCCAGAATTGACCTAAATTAAGCACGTGCACATTTCTTGGGGCACTTTCAAAAATATAGGACGGTATATAGCACGTGATCGCATATACATTTGTTCTTTTTAATATAAAATGAGTTTATATTAGGGGCAGCTTGTATTAGGCTGTGTGATCCATGAAGTTTATTTCTTCCCCTTTCACATGATAGTATTTTAAAATGATTTAGATAGCTTGCCACTTTTTTAAACATACATAGTACATGCATGCATGCAGATATAGTAGATCAAAATATAGGACACATGCAGAGTACATCTAATTTGAAAAAAAATAATACAGAGAAAATCTCTAATTGTATCTCTAATTGTAATTGCCGCGTCCAAAATTTTTACTGGTAGTACAGGGAATATAGCGCGGTTCGAGAAGTATCATTAGGGAGCTTTAATTAGCAGTAACTACGAGTACGACTAGGAGTATTCATCACAATATTCATCACTCTCCTTTATTTTTTGCTTACGGTATCCTCGGTATCCTAAAATTAAACTCAGTAAATAGCCACAGTTAATAGAATATACATGGTTTGGAGACCACATAAAACTACAATATAACTCATTAACTATATTGAGGCAAAAAATTGTTCCTTTTTCATCACATGTCTATTGTATTTTGCACATATAAACCAATAGCAATCTTTTAATTAACATATTTTTTAAGTCAAGGTTGAGGAGTTTAGCAAGACGAGTACCATTGGTGAGTTTGGCTAAAATACAATAGACACATGACATAAACCTTGACAATAGCATTCTTAATGAGTTGAATTGTACTTTTATTTAGTCTCAAAACCATATATATTCCATTAACCGTGATTTAACAAACCACTACAAATCGTATAAAAATTTACCGTACATTCTTCTTAAGTCGTCCAATTAAATTCACGGTGAAACATTTACAAAATTACTTTGCCATGCAGTATGATCTTTCGTTGCAGCCAGAATTTCTTCATCTTCATGGCCAGTGTCTTTTTCAATAAGCATTACTGTTAAACATCACTGTTACACGGGATATGCTGTCTGCCACAATTATTATTTAACTGGTGTCTTTCAATACTCACTTATATTACAGAAGTACACCTACTATTTATCAATCAGTGACATTTAATTTGTAGGATTTATAATGACTTAAACTTTTCCATATTGTACCACCCTCAGGTGAAAATGAAACGTAGCTTTTATGAAATGTTTTATTTAGCTAGTTTATTTATTTATCACGTCTAGTTTCGTTTATAAAATTATTATAAACAATACAACTCATGACGTCATGAAAGGTTTGCTAAATGCGATGGCTTACGATTCGTTTGATCATGATTTATATAATTTCAATTTTCATGTCATTAATATATTCTTCATTTCATGCATGTTATTTTATTGTTTCAGTTTTAGATTAACCTGTTCACAAAATGAGGAGTCTCGCAATCATACCTGGCATATTTTTTGTTTTATGTTTCGTAATTCATTGGGCAAGTAAGTCATTCTTAGTATAACAGCGTTGATTCACATAGTCATTATTTTGGTTCTATGCACGGCTAACCGGTTTGCAACTAATTAATGTGCAATGCGTCCTGACAGATTCAAAATAGTTTTCAATTGACCGGGTAATGCCTTTCGAATAATGACAGATGAAAATTGAAAAGGAAACCACAAATACTATAGAACAATATTAATTTACCAATGAGATTGTGCATGAACGTTTCAGCACAGAATAAGTAATATATACAGAACTTGAACTAGCGTACGTGTACCCACTTATTAGTGCGCATGCTTAGCAAATGCCTGTGATTAACAGTACTAGTATCTGCCGAGCGTGCGCCGTTGGCAGCTCTGTATCTTTTACTCTGTGGTATTCGTCACTTGGATTCGGCCGTGTTCACAGGATCACGGGTTTGTTTACAGAACCGCGCATTGTTGAAAGTGTCTTATTTTTAAATGCTGTCCCTCCACCTGAAATACGTAAAGCTCAAAACCCCCCAAATCATCTTTGGTGGAGAGTGGCTTTTTCGTCTAGTCGTACGCTGACTTACGATTGCATGGGAATTTATAACTGGAGTACTTATGAATAATGAATAATAGGCTTACTTTTGGCGCTGTATGAAATGCTTTAACTGGACTGCGGGATGGTTCTTCCCTGCGTTTCATTTACGAAATGATACAAAATGCACGACTACCATATTGACCTGATGTATTTCGCTGTTTTCTAAGATTCAACAGTGAGGTTACAAGGTCCATTAAGAGCAAATGGTACCGGTCGTGTAGAAGTATTCTATCGTGGAGAATGGGGAACAATCTGTGAAGATGGATGGGATATGAGAGATGCTAGGGTTGTGTGTCGTCAACTTGGTTATAATGATTCTGTTCGAACTCTTGAGAGAAATGAGGTTCCTGATGGTTCTGGCCAAATATGGTTGTCTCACGTCTCTTGCACTGGAAATGAGCAAAATATAACAAATTGTTCTCACGGTGGTTGGGGAAATCATCGTTGTTCGCATAATAAAGACGCGGGAGTTGAATGTACAAATACAAGTTAGTGATAATTTATCAAAAGATATTTTAGAACTCGTTGATATTTATTGACGTGGTTCCTAGAGCTATGTTTAGAGTAATGTTGTATGCAATGTTGTCGTATATTCTATAAAATTTAAAGCATTGTATGAGAGATTACTTCACGGTTGGAGAATGTGTTTGATTTTTGTGTCAAAATGAACTAACCGAGCTGAATTGTATGTAATTTGATTATTAATTTTATAGGTGAGTTGAGTTTAAAGACAACGCGGTTTTATGATAAAAATGATAAAAAAATGTTTTAATTAATTTGTTGTCTCTGGTATCATCTCAAAAAACAACCTGACTGATCTCAAGTATTCCGTTATCTATTTAAGATTTCACTGGTATACCAGTAAGACTGAGGTTGCAAGGACCATCAAGTGCAAATGGTACTGGTCGTGTTGAAGTATTCTATCATGGACTATGGGGAACAATCTGTGATGATGGATGGGATATTAGAGACGCTAGGGTTGTGTGCCGTCAACTAGGTTATAAAGACGTTGTACGAATTGTTCAGAAAAGCGAGGTTCCTGATGGTTCAGGCCAAATATGGTTATCCCACGTCTCGTGCACGGGAAATGAGCAAAATATAAGAAGTTGTTCTCATCGTGGTTGGGGAAGTCATCGATGTTCGCATCGTCAAAATGTAGGAGTTGAATGTACATATACAGGTAAAAGTTATCGATAAAATCGAGCCGATTGTCTAAAAATGTTCGGTTTCCATCTTTTTGTCAAAGTTTGATGAGAGATAATGCGTGGTTAAATTTTTTGATATATTTTAAAGTTGGAAAAAAATCCTAATTCTAACCAGATTTCAACTTCATCATGGGCGGGGGGGGGGGGGGGGCGGGGAGTGTATATGATTTTTGTTTAACATGGCCAGAAATGCAGGCCAATATAGATGACAAGGAAACGTGATTTGGTCTTGCTATGCAAAATTCATGTTATTATAGTTATTCATGTCTTAAGAAATTCATTGTTTTCACAGTGAATGCATGAACACCAAAATATTAGCACAGCATGAAAAATTGTTGGCAGTAGTGTATGCCAGCCTGTCGATTGGTCCCGCTATGCTAATATTTTGGTGTTCACTGACTGTGAAAACAATAGATTTCTAAAGACATGAATAATTATAATAACTCGAAATTTACACAGCGGGAAAAAATCGTCAGGCTGGCTACGCCACTAAAATTGTCGGGCGCGCTATGCCACTGGATTTTGCGCTTATTTAAAAAACCAATATGGCGTCCCATGTAAGAAATGAGTGAAGAATTATTGAAATTTGCTTTTTATGTAACATACAATAGAACTTTCTTATAGTGACGTCGAACGCGGAAAATCTGTTACACGAAATTTGATGGGTTCCACCGAAAACTATCGAGCCAATCAAACTTCGTGTAACGTCAGACTTTCCGCGTTTGACGTCATTATGAAAAAGGTCTATTTAGAAGTCATGTTTGTTCACGTCCAATATATCATCAATTTTATTGATCTTTAACCACAGAAAATTTGAGGACATTGTAAAAGAATCCGAGCTTATTAGGTACATTGCAGCTCCAATTTCTGCTTTTGTTGGCAGGGATCGGCAAATCTCCATGTCAGAGCTGGTTCATAAAGACTCTTGCTTTATTTACACCGCATTTTAGAAACTTAAAAAGACGCGTAAATGTGTCCCCCTAGGCAATGAAATACATGGATTACGTAGAGTGATTTTTTAACACCATTATTTTCTTTTTTCGGTTGCTATGATACATGTGACACTGATCTGAAATAATGAACTGAAACTGAACTGCATGAGCCCACACACCTCACCGCTTACCGGCCTGCATCTCTGCCACGCGGTGGAACAACCAAGTCAACACAAGGCTTTTAGGATAAAGTAAAAGTGATAAAAAATAGAAGTTTTTAGACACAAAACAGTCATATTCACAACCGTTTTAAATTCCTTCGGTTTGGAATGTCATGTCGGGTCGATAGACAGGCAAAAATTGGGGTCGGTTGCCACCTGACATGCGGTTTCGTCTTCATGTATCATTTGGTTTATGTTTTGTGTTGTTTATTATAAAACATCGCAGCCATAGTCTATACAGCTTAATTGCACATTTTGTACACAGTGATTCGAAATTTGAAGTAGCTACATGTCTATTTTATAACAATCACTAACGTGTGTCACTAACGTAATAAAATTTAATACATAACGTTTAATACATAATGTTTTAAAACCGCCGAGTCGTGCAACCCATTAATTTCAGTTTCGGATGACATTATATAAGTGTTTAGAAATCTATTTGTGTTTACTCTGGGTTCAGAAACTCGCACTGTCTTGTCGGGCAATGATGACGGACCATTCTTGGTGGAATCAGATGATTGAAATAAGTTTAGTTTTTTTCTTACGTGTCCATTGAATTTTGTTACTTTCATTAAGAAATGCTATTTTCAAGTACATGTTGTCATTTTACAATAAAACCCGTTATAATCGTATTTAAAAGAAACAATAATAATTGAAATTGACAAATTGTAGCTTATTATATAATAATATACATGAGCACACGACTCGAATCACTCGAAAAAAACCCATAAAATAATAATACGCTGATATATAATTGTTATATACGCTGATTTTATTATGTTTAGTGCTGTTTCTAAATCGAATTACGACATATTTGGGTTAAAAAATTGTAAAAATTCACATTGCATTAACATTTTTAAAAGCCTTTATAACGAATGCATTGCTGGATCTGACAAACGAGAAGCAAAAGTGTCATGATTTAGATGCTTTGAATCTACATTAATCATTTTGTGCTGCAATAATTTGTTTTGACTTTTACTGGATCTTTCACCGCCTTTTAAATTTTAACGCTCAACCGAACTAAAGGTTACACAAAACAAAATTTATTTAATTTTCATCTCAAAAAGTTTTACAACTATCTGATAATTTCATGTATTTCGCTGTTTTTTCAAAGATTTTACAACTATACCTGTGAGACTAAGGTTGCAAGGACCATCAAGCGTGAAGGGTATTGGTCGTCTTGAAGTATTGTATCGTGGACATTGGGGAACAATCTGTCGTTATGGCTGGGATATGAGAGACGCTATAGTTTCATGTCGTGAATTGGGGTATAAAGATGTTGTTCGAACTCTTCAGGGAAGAGATGTTCCTTCTGGGTCGGGTAAAATATGGTTATCTCAAGTCTATTGCACCGGAAATGAGCCAAATTTGACAAGCTGTTCTCATGATGGTTGGGAAAATCATCTTTGCACGCATTATGAAGACGTCGGTGTTGAATGCACAAATACACTGTCAGGTAAAACTTAGCCATGAAATCCAGTCGATTGTCGTAAAGTGTTGTTTATATTCTCAAATTCAATTCTCAGTGGAAACAAATAATTTTTTAACACGTTTACGTCATAGCTGGCTACTCAGATCGAGGCGCCGGCAAGGCCCAACTCCGCGTGATACATAGCTGGAAAAGAGCATGTCAGTGTGTTTGATAATGTTTGATTCTGCGCAATCCGAAGTATTCGATTAATGTTTATATCAATCAATGACGATATTATTCTTGCATGTCGAATGTAAATTGATTATACATTGTTTCATTTTGAATCAAATAATTATAACGACTTACGACTACATATTGGCTTATTGATTTTCCTAAATTCTTTGAGACTTCATTGCTACAATGGATGCCGCTGAAAGCGATATACAACAAAACTTGTTCAATGCTTTTAGCTTCATGGGCGGATCCAAGATTTTTTGTTCCCTAGTTAAAATTTTCTTGTTAAACAGGAAGCTTGCATTCCCCTGTATTATATATATACTGAATACTTTCACAATAAAATTGATAAAGAAATATACACTGAATGAAGAATAAACACCGGAATGACAGAGCAAAATAACGTGTTTTATGGGGATTGGTTAAACCCACGTATTAGAAGAGCGCCTTCCCGAACAGTTCTTTTTAGCTTTCGTTAATTAAAGTGTGTAAGTAGTGTACATGTAGTATTTAAAAGTGTGTAAGTTATAATGTAAGTAATATTTACAACACGAGAATGAGCGTTTTATAATATTTAAAAGCTATCGACTTCGAGTGTTCTAAAATTGCTTCAAATATGCCGCATTGTTGTCGAACAATAAATTTGCAATATAAAACATTTTAAAATTATACTGAAAGGATACTAATGAACGTGACAAATTATATGATGTGCCATCCTCATTAGCATTCATAATACTTTACCATGTATTAAGCCACCATACGTGACTTCTTTGTGGTTAATTTCATAGGCTAAAATGCTTATGAATTATTAATGAGTTTTTGAATTGTATTAGTAAAATTAAGACAGACGAGAACATAGGTAAAGGAGATGCCCCGGTAAGAAGGATCATTCGAGTAAAGACTTAGATTTCTAATTACCGAATTGACGGATTTATTTTATTTTTTTAGATTTTACGGTTATACCTATAAAACTGAGGTTACAAGGTCCGTCAAGTACATATGGAACTGGTCGTGTTGAGATTTTATATCATGGATATTGGGGAACAATCTGTGATCGTGGATGGGATGTGAGGGACGCTAGGGTTTTTTGTCGCCAACTTGGTTTTCAAAGTGCTGTTAGAATTCTTCCGGGAGGCGAGTTCCCCTTTAGTTCAGGCCAAATGTGGTTATCCAACGTCTCCTGTACTGGAAATGAAAAAAATATATCAAGTTGTTCTCACGATGGTTGGGGAACTCATAGCTGTTCGAATTTCGAGGACGCAGGAGTTGAATGTAAAAATACAGGTAAAAGATTGTCGTAGAATGTTGTTGAATTTAGTTAAATTTTATTGAAATTTAAAAATACCATAAAACGGAGCATCAGTATAAAATTATATCAAATAAAAACAATTGATGTTTGGGATAAGCTCAGCATCAGAGATTGAAAATTGTAGAGACTGCAACCTTATTAGACGACATCGCACTTTATGGTCCCGATAAACAACAAGAAGCGATATGAGAAAGTTTTAAAATGGTTAGGAAAAGGGGCTTGTAATTACTTACGACAACTGCATTGATCTCATGCACTACACTTTTCTTTAAAGATTTCATCCCCGTGAGGTTACATGGACCTTCAGGTGCGAATGGTACTGGTCGTGTTGAAGTATTCCATCGTGGGGAATGGGGAAAAATCTGTGATGATGGATGGGATATGAGAGATGCTAGAGTTGTATGTCGTCAACTTGGCTATAAAGATGTTCTTCAAACATTTCAAGAAGGCCAGGTTTCTGAAGGTTCAGACCAAATTTGGTTATCGCATGTCCATTGCACTGGAGATGAGCAAAATTTAAAAAGCTGTCCTCATCGTGGTTGGGGAGGTCATCGATGTTTGCAAGGAAAAGTCGCTGGAGTTGAATGCACAAAAATAGGTAAAAAGCTGACGATGAAAATGATATTCGTAAAAATAATTTAGTTTTAATTCTTATATTTTTCAGATAATATTATCGAATTCTTTGACACTTACTGACGACGTTTCAGAGCCAGACAAAGTTGTGCCTTGAGAAATAGCTAATTTTATTTACTTTATGTTATGTCAAGAAGTGTATAACTAATTTAGTTACATGTTTCCGCACGTAATACGAAAGTATACAAAATTTAATAGGTAAATGTCTCGTTCGTTATTCAGGTACTTATGAATTAAAATTTTGCTGCAGTAATTGAAAAGACTTTTGTTTGATGTGCTTCCACAGCCAAATACCTCAATGATTCCTTTATTTTCGTTTAATTTCAACGTTATATCGGATTATAAGTAATATAAGATAAAACTTTTAATGCTTGAATTAAGTTCTTTCCACTTTTACAACTATACCTGACTAATCTCATGTATTCTGCTATTTTTTTTAAGATTTTACTCCTATACCTGTGAGACTGAGGTTGCAAGGACCGTTAAGTGCAAATGGTAGTGGCCGTGTTGAAGTATTATATCATGGAGTATGGGGAACAATCTGTGATGACGGGTGGGATATGATAGACGCTAGGGTAGTGTGTCGTCAACTTGGTTACAAAGCTGTTGTTCGAAATCTTCATGAAGGCGAGTTTCCTTCTGGTTCAGGACAAATATGGTTATCCGACCTCTCGTGCACCGGAAATGAACAAAATATAACAGGTTGCTCTCACGGCGGTTGGGGAATTCAATTTTGCTCCCATCGTGAAGACGTCGGAGTTGAATGTACCGCAGATCAGGGTAAGAATTTCCGCATTTCCTGACGTGGAGAAGTACACAATATACTTCTCAAATTCGTACTAAGAAGTGTACCAGCCTGATAGTAAATTTGCCAAAAAAAAGGAATTTGGAGTCGCGAAAGATGATAGCAAGAAGAAATTAGGAGGAGGGGGTTGCTGGCATGAACTGTTTATCGCAAGTGCTTTTAAAAAAAATGGGGGGACTTTTCTTGTTTGGTGATGTTATTGATGCTGCACCAGAAATTTGAGCATTATATTTACTAAAATCGACCGAATCGGCCATCTTGGAATTTACTAAAATCGGCCATCTTGCCATTTCCATCATTCCAACTACGTATGATGTGCTGTTCTAAACTGAACATTCTCGTTTTAGTTACAGAAACTACCACAGCAAATCCAACGGAGTCCATAACAGGTAAAGTGATGTAGAAATGCGGTGTTCATTATAAGCTGAGCATTTTTCATTGTAGTTTCTTTGTAGTTTTATTGTTGATTAATATAAGCTGTATTAACAAACATATATTTCCTCGAAAAATTTTTTTTTCTGCGGACCGTTTCAAATTTAGTTCGAAGTAGAACGGGTCGAGTAGAATCGTTTGGAATTTAATTCTGAAATATTTCTGTTCCAAGGAAAGAACCCAGGGCCGTAGCTAGACCGCTTAATAGGGGGGGGGGTGTATATTTATATATTCATGTTTATATACCATAGGAACAATAGCATACAAAAGAAATCATTCGGGCATAAGACGAATATATGAATATGCACCCCCCCCAATTAAACTTTTAGCTACGGCCCTAAAAGAACCCCAAAGGTACTTCATTTGAAACATTTTTTCAGCGGAAAAAATCTCGATTTCGAAAAATTTTCTTCCTGTCAAGTTCTGAGGAAATTTTTATGTTGTTTTAACGCTTTTTAACCTTGGCTATACAAGCATGGTTATTGAATATAATTTCTGCATTGCCTTTTGTTCTGCGAGCATGTATTCTATTCTGAATTGCTCTTTCATCATTTCCTATGAAACAATTACATATTACTTAAAAAATAAATTTTTGTCCCTGGTTTAAGATTGTGAAATGGAATACTAAAGTATTTTCATCGAACCATGCTCGTTTTACTGTATTTCATTAAGTTGTTTCATTATTAGGGTTTTAAAAATATTTCTATATTTTTCAAAATAACCGGCCATATTTTCTGAATCATAATTAACAATTATTCGGCGAAGGTGAGGTGAACATCACTGATTAAAAACTGAGACGAAGTAGAAATTACTAAGATCAATAATTGAAAACACGATTACGAAAATATTTATTGTAAAAAACTGATATGTTCAAATTTACGGCGATTTTTACGTTTGCATATTGTTTAAAAGATGTTTTCTTCCAAAGAATGTTAACCACCTTTCTACAATGTTGTTTCTACCGTTGTGATAATCTTATAGGAGTAAAGGGTTTTCTTTAAAATTACTTATTTCTTTATCTGTCACTCTGACAAGAACAACTCGCCGTAGTTTAAAAAATCCTCATTTTCACGTAAGAATTCGATGTCTTTCTATTGGCTGCATTTTCCGTTGGAACGAAATATCTCTCCCTTTGTCTTCAAATTAAATTGTAAGCGTGAAAGAAATCCGCTACTGTCGATTTCTTGCAATTGCAAATAAATCAGGCGAAAAATTTCACATTATCGAAAAATTCTGGCTAGGCCTAGCGCTGAAAAACGGCCTTTACCTAGCCATTGACGTTACCACAATATCTTACTGCTAGTTTGAATTTCAATTTGAATTTGAATTGGTTCAATTTTGTCATCCACCTGTATATACCTACACTAAATCAACTACAGATGCTACAATTTGTCTATATTTGAATTTTTAGAAGAATCAAAGTCAGACGAGGAATCGGACAGCGTTGAATGGCCAATATTTATGATAATACCAGCAGTCATCATCGCTGGGATTATCATTGCCTGTATTGCGTTATTTTATCGCAGTCGATGGTTAAAAAGAAAGAATGTTAAACCAGATCCCACTCCTGAAAATACAATAAAAAATCCAGTTTTTGATGAGTCGAATTGTGTGCGTCACGCACAAAACCTTTCCGGGTCAGGAGGAGCTGTAGATAACGCGGGTTACGTCACTAATGAAAATACTGCGATGTGATTGGTTGAGAGTTGTTAAGGCCATTGTATGGTCGTACATTTTCCAAAAAATTATACATGTCAAAAATAGAATTTCTAAAAGTTTTAAAATGGCAGTTACGCTAACGCGAACTAAAGTTTGGATTAAGCAAAACAAACCAAGACCATTGAACGTCCAACTTTGCTGACATAGAATCTGGACGATCGAGCTTCACGTTTTGGTTTAGCGTTGTTTCGATAAAATATCTGACCTCTAGGGTGTTTTAAATTACCCTGCCGCCGGTTACGGAATTAGAACTTCAAACTTTTAACTTATCTTCGAAAGAAGTCAAAGTTACTCGTACTTAATTTCGCGCGACTTTACTGTAGTTTCGCAGTTTTTGCAATTGAAAAAAAAATCCCGAAATTAAAATCGCACGAATACAGAACCCCGCGAAACTTCCCCGCGCGAAATTAAATAACCCGTCAAAAATTTAGAATTGCTAAATCAAAAATTATTCAATAAATAATGATCAACAACTCCAAACAAAAGAATCTTTATGTTCGCAGTTACTACTACACTTTACTTGCCAAAATATCTCAGTTGTTGAAAAAGTGTATACAATTTAAAAAAATGTTATTCAGAAATATTTTACGAATTTTAATGCCGTTTTATATTTCCGTCCATCCAAATCGCGAAAATAAAACCTCGCGAAATATGGCTTGGATAAAATCGCGAAATTAAAGTCGCGCCAATTAAATTAAGTATGAATAAGGTAATCGACTTTCCAATCATATAAGTAAAGTTAACGTTCAGGTGCCGGTTGTACGAAGGCCGCCGGATAGTGCTATCCACCGGATAGTGATTTATTCAATCAATAAAATTATTTTAAGCTTTCAAACGAATGATTGTTAAATAGGACACTCAAGTTAGGAATACTAAGATTTAATCAAAGTTTCAGTGAACAACAGGTGGTATCCACTATCCGGTGGATTCATACAACTGGCCACAAATCTTTTCTGTCAAGAACATACTTACGCTCATTAGAGTTATTTTTCGACGTCGATTTTTTTTGTACGTAGTCATTGAATTGTATAGAAACTGTTCATATGCTATTGCCTGATTCTTAATTTTTAAGGTTTTCTTACATTATTTCAGGCTACTTTTACTTTCGGGTAATAAGCATTGTCTAACATTTAAAAAAACCCAATTATTTTTATTCATGAGCTTGCGGCATATGTTTATTCATGTAACTATATTTGTTTCTTCTGTGTATTATTTCTTAACGTTTTTGGAATCGGAGGAATGCCCGGAATGGGATCTCGAGTCCCATTCGTATTTCTCTCGTTTTAACATTTTTCAATAAATTTTGATATAAAAATATAAATAAATAAATAAAAAAAACTCTCTAATTAACTAGAAATACATTCATCCCAACCCCCCTGAATAATGGACCTCCCGGTGAAGTCATATATAAGTAAAATCCTCTGCCAAGTAAAAAAAAACTCGCGCTATATCAAATTTAAACTTAGAATTAATATGCTTCGAATAGTTATAAATGCTCAATTTTTGCGGAATTTCAACTGTTTTTCTAACCAGATTGGGTATCTTTTTGTTCTGTATTTTGGGACAACAACAAATACTCGTTGTTCAGTGGTTGGTTGAACCATCTTGTGTTGCCAACAAGTAAAATGCCTGACTAATAAAAGGTCGTCCAGTTCCATGCAAATTTTATACACTTTCATTATTTCTCAAAAAATTAGTTAAAATTACTTTTAGAGTTCACTTATTTGACATGCTTCGTATAACCTGGGGTTATTTAGGCAACTTCTGTTTAATTATGTGCCTAATTTGAATATGAAAGGCGTCACTTTTTTGACTCACCCTGTATAATATATAGTAATCCTCAAAAATTGTCGTTATTTCTAAAATAGTTTATTTTAATATCACAACAGTGAATAAAAGAATGAAGCAACAAGAATAAAAATTACAACAAAATAATATACTGTTGGTATCAACACGCCCTGTGGCCTATCGGTTACGGCTACGTGGCCTACCACGTTGACCAGTTCACTTGCTGGTTTGTATGACCACAGTTAATAGAGACCTTTAGCACTCTAAAGCAGGACGGGGACACCACGACGGCAGCTATCAATTCAATGCTTTATTGAAAAGAAATGAATTATTAAATACCTATGGGAGTTTTAGACGTAATACAGGGTGTCTCAAAAAACAACAACTATGAAATCACCCGTAACAATGCAATTGTTAGATTAGGCACTCTGTTGGGACCCACAAGTGTATAAATGTTTGCCATACGCATTTTCATGCAGGCATATGATGCACTAAAATTTGCTTGTCTGCGCAAAAATTATACTTACTAACAATATTTACATTTACATGTCAAAGACCATTACCTTCGACATGTCCCCTTTCTCTTGCAACACAAAGCATTTAGCATTTCATAAGTTGCATAAATCCCCACGGGCTGAAATTCGTGAGCACCGCATTCAAATTTTAACAATGAGTGATTTCAATAGTTTTCGGGTTTTTTGAGACACCCTGTATAGGAAAGATAAAGTTTAATGTTATCTAAAGTGGCGGTGGAATCAGTTCTTTAGACTGGATTTCCAGCGAGAAATAGTTCGCCATCGAATTATTTCCCGACAAACGCGCTTCGTAAAAAAACTGTGTAGCTCAACATAATACTCATTAATACCAAGTTGATACCAACCGTTGGTCTCTATTTCGAACAAGACGCCTACTAGGCGTTATATGATCGCGTCGTTCACAGCGGCGTAGCCAGCCCAGCTATGCAAATTTTGTGTCGTAAATGTTCTTAATAATAAAATGAACAATATACCGAACTACAGGGTGTATCAAAAAAAAGTAGACAATTTTGAAATGTTTAGAAAACTATAAATTTATCAAAATATCTCATAGATTTGTGCTAGTATGGGTACTTTGGCATCTTCAGGTCATTCTAACACTAAAAACAAACAGAAAAATTAACCTCGAAAAATGGAAGAGCGGTTTGTGGAAGCATCATTTTGAATTGCTTGTGCAAACATGAATGAGAGGTTTAAAATCCAATTTGAATTCAAGGGCTGAACGTTTGGGTATTTGTTTACAAAGAATCGAAATTTCAGAAATTTTGATGAAAATTAAGTCAACCGCGCAACTGCGTAAAAGTGGGCTTTTTTCCGTTTAACTCGCAGCTTGAGTAACTTTTTTCACAACACCATTGTTAGTTTAATCACCCGAGCAATCACTCATGCATGAAATCATTCGTGCATGAAAAAAGTTACTCAAGCTGCGAGTTAAAACGGAAAAAAGCCCACGTTTACGCAGTTGCGCGGCTGACTTAATTTTCATCAAAATTTCTAAAATTTCGATTCTTTGTAAACAAATACCCAAACGTTCAGCCCTTGAATTCAAATTGAATTTTAAACCTCTCATTCATGTTTGCACAAGCAATTCAAAATGATGCTTTCACAAACCGCTCTTCCATTTTTCGATGTTAATTTTTCTGTTTGTTTTTAGTGTTAGAATGACCTGAAGATGGTAAAGTACCCATACTAGCATAAATCTATGAGATATTTTGATAAATTTATAGTTTTCTTAACATTTCAAAATTGTCTACTTTTTTTTTATACACCCTGTATAGTCGCATGTTGAAAGCAGGAGAAACACACAACAGCCCATTTCGAAACTGCTTGAAATCCTTTAGTGCAGGCTTACTCTGCTCGGCGTGTGCAGTTAGTTGTATGTGTAATGAGTGTAAAGATAAAGATAGCACTTGCTAGCATTTTTATCGCTTTATTGATTCTACTTTACTGCTTTGAAGGTGAAACGAAATATGCCCAAAGTGAATACAACACGTGATATAACTAGCAACTTACCTGTGCGCAGGTTCTCGATTAGGGTGATATGGCCTGCAGCTAGCGACGCTGGGGGTCGACCCGAGAGGAAAATAATAATAAAAAAAAAACCAAGCCGAAACTATAGATCGCTGTCGCTACGCGACACGATCAATTAGTATAGTCACGGGGAACGGGGAACCCTTGCCATCCAAAGACACCTACGAATTCGTTAACAGTAACATAAAACCTTTACGTGTCATTTCACTAATCTCTCTAAATAAATAGCATACCTCTTTGATGTATGACCTATTTAGTTTAATAAAGCGCGTTTAATTAGATCGATGCAACTAATATTAACATGAGCAGGCACGTTAGTACTTTTTTCTGGGTTCATATTTCAGACAAATGATAATATTTGCATTAGCTGATAGCATGTGTTTCTAGAAAGACGTGGAATTCATAACAACGGTGATACATTAATTATCATAACAACAGCAGACGCGCACTACTAAAACATTGTAAGAACCGGTTTATTTTCTTAATATTGCATGTAAATTTCTGCTTCAATCGATTCTGTGTTGTATAATTATGATGATCTCCGAACACTTGCTGAGCTTTCGCGTTGGATTTTATATGAAGAAAAAGCTGAGAGGTGCAGAAGAATAAAGTATGTAATATAATGATGCCTGATTATTATAAACATTTTCCGATAGGGTTCTGTGACAGTAATTCGGGGATTCAAAGTAGATATTAATGCTAGTACTTACGTTCATGCATTTGTTCGTTCGTTTGTTAATCGTTTAGACTTAAATTCATTATATCCTTCTAAAAGTGAATAAGAGTCGCAAATTTTCATGTCACAAATTTCCATTGCGGTATCTGAGTATCTCCGTGATTGGAGATCTCTACCTTGGCCCGACAAGACTCTGATTTCTATTTCACAGTATTTGCTACAATAGGCCCAAGATTTCAAAATAAATGTGTTTATCTTTACTTCCGATCAACTGCTTGAAAGCAGTTATTTGCTGCGGGTAAGAAATTAATACAGGTTTCCCAGAAAGTACTTATGTTTTGAACATGTGTTGTGTGGGAGTTTAATTTTTATTAGTTGAGCAGAACAATACTAACTTCCCGAACGGAACAATATCCGCAATAGTGCAGGCTGTAACACGTCGAAAATAAAGCAAAACAATTTTATATCTTTTTTTTAAAATATGAGCTGAAAGCTATGAGCCAATAATCCCGAATGACAATAACTTGACCTTTATGGCTGCTTTCCAGTTACGCGTTTTTCATACGCACGTACACGCACGTAAAAGTCTAAATCCTTTTGCATGATATCTTTTAAAAAACTAAGTAAATGAATCGAAGGAACTTAGTTTCCTGCTTATTTTAGTATGCATTAGTTGACCTAGATGTTAAATAATGAAAATTTAAAAGCATTTAAAATTTTCCGTACGTGCACGTGTGTATAAAAAACGCGTAAGTGGAAAGCAGCCTTTAAGGGACTATGACTGCATGCACATAAAAATGAAATAAACAAACGAAGAAGCATTGTCAAGGCGAATTTTTTTGTCCGAGTTTAAGTTTATATACGATTACATGCACGACAACACTAAGTTTCAGCCCGGGCTGAAACCACTCCATCTAATAAGCCCCTTATAGCTTCTGGGATTGGTTAGCTTAAGTTTTCCCCACACGGCATTACGAACTATAGTCAAAGTGAGACTGTATTAGAGCATCATACATAAAGTATAATTATAGTGTTTTTGATGCACCAACAGACCTCAAACTCTTAATAGTGCTGATACGGAGGCTACTACGCTGATATAGATATTTTATCAATTTGGCGGTTATGGCCGCTCTAGCAATGTTATATAAAACAATTTCGTCAATTAAGACGCCATATTCGGTTTTAGTCATGTTTCTTTGATATTTACTATTCTATTGTGATTGAGCAATAACTTAGCCGATCAGGAAGTTAAACTATTCGACCGTTTAGCAATGTCTGATACACATAAGTCTATATGCCTTTCGCCCTCAGAGATTTACAGCTTAATCATGGAATTGAAGCTTCCAAAGAATTATTAGGTATTCCGGCTTTACTATTAATCACTAATCTCTTGGTATGAAAAGGACTTGATGTATAACCTAGCTAGTTCATCCCTGGTGACGAGTGAAATCATAGCCGAAAAGTCGCCATTTTTTTATATTTGCGTATACATGTACAATTGTACAAGGTTGATCAATGCCACCAATATCTCTAAATCGCAGAACACAAACGCTTTCTTGCCTGTATTTTGCAGTGACGATAAGTATTTGAGGTGGATAGTGGCATATGTTTGCTTGTTTTTTTGATGCAAAATAATTGTAACGAATGCATAACAACACCAGGGGACAAGGGCTACATTATCATAACAACAGCCGGGGTTATGTTTATTGAAAACAGTATTCAAAGACGTATATCGAACTTGATACCGTATTCTGCGTATCATATAACGATCTATCTTTAAAGATTTTGAGAGTTTGGGCATTGGGTATCGTTTGAACCATAAGGCATAACTGAAAGGTGTCGAAGAATAAAAGTACGTAATATGTAATGTACTTACTTTGATAAAAATGCGATACAATTCAGTGAGAAGATATCAGGAAGTGATTTATTGTAGTGTACGTATGGTGGGCGACTATAAGGATTCACTAAACAAATTTATTTAATTTGTTTTATCTGTTTGACTTATCGAGTTTTTAATCAGTTCTATCTTACCAAACGGAAATCAGATTTAAAAATTTTCTTTGAAATTTAATTACCGCCTATACATTTCATATGTTACATATTCATCACAATAAGACTACCATTTTTACGCGACTGTTGTCTTTATTTTCAAAAGATTTCGCCCTTGACAAGCCACTGCATTCATGTTCGACTTGCAACACCGTGATTTATCTTTGGTAATTTCGAGCGAATTTTTAAAATACATGTGTAAAGCTCTACCACTTCGCTTTCTACGACATTTCAAAATCCAAGAATTCATTGGTATACGTAATTATAAAACATAGTTAAATAAGCACGATAGTTTAGAATCTCAATCTAGCTTCTGCGGCTCTGCTTTAACTGACAATCTGTACAATTCGCTCATTATATGTGACCTTCCACGGGAAAACGTACGTTAACGATATTTCGTTGAAACGGCAAAACGAACGGATAACGAACGGGTAGTGAACGATCTGTAATAACGTTTCAACGAACCCAAAAAACGTTTTGACGAATTCAGCTAAAAATGTGAACGTTTAAAGTCGAGAATACGAACGGATAAATAAACGTTCAATCTGAAGCCGTTTGAACGATTTATGTTTATGAACGGTTTTAACAAATTAGTCTGAACGCCTGTTGCGCGTATGATTGACGCAAGATATTATTGAGTAATTAAAAGAATAGGAAATATTTTCAAACACCTAACATGTGTTGGCGCAAGTATGCGCGTGTACATATAACCTATGCCTTCATTTGAATGTTTAACTAAATTTATTAGCCAAACTACGTAAATCACATTATTTTATACTTTATATACATATACACATTTGCATTTTGCATCAAAATTCGGGTTTATTAATCGTTAGAAAGCCTTCAGTTATTAGTACAAATTATCATCATTATGTCAAATTAATCAATGCATCATCTGCAACTATACCCATCAAAATATTCAGCGCGTGTTTATTTGCAACAACGTTACAGATTTTGTAAATCTCTCCACGGACAAACTATATGTATGGATGGGTGGTTAAGGACATATAAACACATCATGCATGCATCCGTTTTATTAACACGGCTTTAAACCGAGAGTAAACGAAGATTGCCATAAATGGCCTGGCTTCGATAATAATATCATAGGCAATGTCATTGGTCACCGTCTCAGTTTGGTTGAGTTTCAGCTATATACTGGATACATATTTTATGTTAAACTAAACACAAGATTCCATTGTACACTATTGCTTATACTCTTTGACGCGCAAACGACTAAATTAATTAGCGCAAGGTTCAAGTTGTTTACAGATGATAACCAGACATTAATACAGAATATCGCATACGCAAAGTTCGTTTGTATGCAAACCAGCTTAGTAACGTGTGCTTGCATGCTGTCAAAACTTTTTTGGTATAAATAGCCCACTACATTAAATATCCAAACCATTTATACACGTGAAAATCCACATTTAAATTTTAGCAATGCATTGCGCGGCGGTAATAAAATATTTAAAATACAGGGTGTATCAAAAAAAAGGTAATCCAACTTTGGTGCGCTATTGTACGTGAACTACTCATTCTATTAACGATTTTTTTTTCACATTCCGAAAGGTTATGCTTTTAACTATCGAATGACATGTTTTTGATACCAAATGGTGAAAAAATGAGCAAATAAGAGGCTGATAAAAAGTGTTAGTCGAAATCGCATATTTTCACCTCTGAGAGTTGGGACTGAAACCATTGAAAATTAACTCTCTTTGGGACTTAATTGAAGAATTTTGCTTTTGAATAAACTACCCGCATATGCATATTAAGTAGGAATAAGGAGAGCATTCTAAGCAATGCGGCATAAAACCGGTGCAAGCTGTGACATGTTCATGATTAATTGTTTTTTTCTTTTGTTATGCACTGCTTTAATTAGGCTCAAAGGTGAAAATATGCGATTGCGACTAACATTTTTTATCAGCCTCGTATGTGCTCACTTTTCACCACCATTTGGTATTAAAAACATGTCACCCGATAGTTAAAAGCCTGATCTTTCTGAATATGAAAAAAATTCGCTCATACACTGAGTAGTTCACGTACAATAGCTTGTTGAAGTTGGATTACCTTTTTTTTGATACACCCTGTATAAGCTTGAATATTTACCTAGTGCACACAATATGTTCCGTGCGGCAATAGCCTCTAGCTGCGGTCAAGCTTGTCGCGGAATGTCGCCTATACACAGTACTGTCAGTAGCAACTATGGGCATCATTATACCTTAAGAATATTTTAAAATTTGATAATAATCTATTTTATTGACTGCATGCACCATCGCCATATTTTCTTCGCAAAGCTAAAGCTGCAATGTTCTTATTTCTGCCGCCATATTTTTTCATATAAGTGATATGTTTTGTGACCATACGATCACATATGCATGTGTTATGACTTATGAACCAGTATATCGCTAATCAATACTTGTGATATTAAATTAGCTAACTAAATTCTTGGTGGACACTATATTCATCAGGAAATATTTTTCCCCCCCAAATATTCGACCATTTACATAGTTAACTGCGTAAATATACCTATGCTACCTGCATGAGCCTAACAATAGTGACCTAAAGAAATAGAACGCGTAAATTAATGGGATAATTTTCGAAATCTTCATTTCAAACCACCGCGGCAATCCGCAATCCCGAAGGTCCGAATTCAGTTCCGCCCTGCAAAACAACTTAATACTCAACCCCGGCAGCAAGAAGAGATTGCACAGTATTTTCACTAAAGCATATAGCAATAGCAGACGGCCCATATAGAAACCGGGTTTTTAAATCACAGAGTGCAAATAATTTTTTCTGCAAAGCATATAGCAATGCTGCCGCCCATATAGAAACGACAATGCCAAATGCATGCACAGGGGAGTTTATACTCACCATTTTAAGAAACAAACGATCTCAACATCTTCGAGACATCTACTTGTGACACAATTTGTGCCTCCTGCTTACAGTAAAATTAACTAATCAAGATTAATTAAGACATGCATGAAAGCATTAATCCATTTTGTCTGGCGAAATCTTTTTACATCATATAATTATATATATTTCGAGGTAGCATCTACCCTTTTTTTATGAAAAATGTCAGCAAAGTTTGTAAACAATTGCTTTTTCAATGTAAGTAAATGCATCCTATAAATTGTATTAACCACCACGGCCCAAGCTAACAACTTTCTAACCTCAGCCAAGCCATTTTGAAGGTCTGGCAACCTTTCATGTCATGTTTATTCGGAATGATTGGATGATCGTGGCCCAACTTGATTTCACCGGCCATGATAAGCAATCTAAAGGGTTATATTGCTGTGCGCATTTAATATATCCGAATAATTTTACTCGCGTTAACAATACATAAAATGCAATTGAGAACGTCTTGTTATATACAATTGCATGATCATCTATATGAAATCTTACTTCGAATGCGTGTCATATTTCGATATATATGCATGGTCAATAGAGAGCTACAGTTTAGCCAAGCAAATACACTCAAGGGAAAAAAAACTTTAGTTTGTATCGAGACAACCGTTATACGAATTCTGTTGATGATTTCATCGATAAGCCTGATTTCAAGGCTTGGAGGAAAATAATTGCAAGCGCCCCTAATAAAGTGGCCCAGTCATGACTTTCCTTGTATCATAGCTAATGTTTCATTTAGTATTCATACCTTTATATGCACGTGTTAAAACGCCTTGACTTCTCCATTGATCTTAATATCCAGCAAATATTTGGGATAGTCTTCGCGAAATTATTGGTAAAGATCTTTACCCGCGTGCACATGTACGCATAAACAGTTGATAGACGCCATTTGAAATTTGCTCATTTTGCCGCTCTAGCTGGCAGGCGTCAAGGTGCAATGACCATGCATAATTGCAATTTGATATCCGGAATGTAATTTCTAATCAAGGGAACCCAAATCAAAATTAGTGAAAGTTTTCCTGTTGCCCAACAGCTGATATGTTGTCCAAGCAAGATAAATTCCAATGCTCCTTTTCTGATGAATTATATATAGCGAAATATATGTAGCAAAATATCTGAAAGGTCAAACTTAAATGTTTGTAAACGTTAGCTTGGCAACTTGCCCTTTGGGCTTGTGTCAGCCCAGTGGTGCGCAAGGAAGGACTGCAGGCACTTTAAAACATAGCGCAAAACTCAACCTCACAAAAACACGGAATTTTTTTGTAATAAACAATGTCACACAATGAACATCATTGATATAGGTTCATAACTTTCATACAGTCTCTATCATTTATACGATTTGAGCCTTTTCCGCGTTCCACGTTTCCGATTCGAGGAGCAAGTCGAGAGAAATCAAATTACAACCAAAATATACATGGAGAGTGAATTGTGCTGAAATGTGCATATATCAATATATATGAAGTTTTTTTTTTGTGAATTAAGAGTCTAAATAAATATTTACAATGCATGAGTTATATTTATGCCATAAGTTATATTTATGCAATTGCCACCTTTCAACATGCCAGCGACGATCGAGCCAGATGGCTTAGATCTAGTGATTTTGTAAGCGGGGCACTGAGGATCTTGTTGCTCCGGCTCCAGTTTTAGACTAGATGCACGCGTACATATTTAAATTGCTATGATATTCATGCAGTGGCGTAACGAACAGAGCCGAGGATGGGGTCTTGAGGTATACTTGGTACTGCGGGGTCCCTTAATTCGCTGTTTGTCATAAATCACGTTTTGCTTATACTATGATGTTTCGTTATCTATCCTGGCCCCCAATAAATTGGGATCCCTTAGTTCTTGTCGTAACCCTACCGAACGCGCGTTATGTCACTGTATTTATGTCTTCAAATATTAGCTAGGGTATTTTGTTGTATAATTTGTAGCTATGTCAGACTGCATTAAAGACAACGAATTTCAAGCTGAAATGTCCGTCCAAGGATGCGGTCTTTAATTTTGAATAGATTTTAATCAGTAGCTGCTTCGTACGGAGGCCCAGCTATATAAGTTTATCAGATGTAAATAAATTAGCTATATACACATGGTTTACAAGTACGATATTAATATGTAACACGCAAAATCCCTCAATTCATTTTAAAATCTGGTTTTGTCTGTTTACATACATTTAGAGACTTCCGACTATTATGCAACTTAATTAGCACCTTGCCAAGGCATATTATGGCTCGTATAAACGCTAATATATGGCTTGCGACGTTGTTTGGATGCGCGGTGAAACTTCGCTTATGGAAGCTACAGAAGTATAGTAAAGCACAAATTCTAACCATTTAGTGCATTACCGAATTCAAAAAACGATAAATTTTTGAAAGAAAGCTTACGACGTGAAATTTGACGCTAATGGAATAATTGCATGCACTGAATATTAATAGCCTTCTGTCTGCATGACGCTAAGCATAAACCATAACATGAAGCGCACAAAATAGCATTCGATTAGGCTAAAACGATATAACCTCACTATTTCCTTTACAAGCCTTTTACTAAGGAACTGAATACGTTTCTGGGAGTATTTCTGTGTAGCACATTCTGCGCTTCTTCTACAAAGTTGTAACATTGCAAATGTTTAATCTAATATGTTGAACCAAATCCAATGCGATTGAACGAAATTCCGGCAAACGTTTCAACGAACGGTAAATCAAACGGTTGAACGCTTTTAGACCAATTTTCAAACGTTTTTTCCTAAGCGTTCGAACGGGCAATTTCGAACGATGAACGATCTCGAAAATCGTTTCAACGAACGCTTCAAGCGTTTGAACGGCAAACGAACGGATAACGAACGATATTTTCGAACGAACGAAATAGCGTTAACGTATGTTTTCCCGTGGAAGGTCACATATTGAGCGGTCATGACAGAATTGTAACTGGAGGTACAACATAAATAGTCATATTCACAGGTTAATCCTTAAATCACAGGAACTAGTTATTATTAAGGAAAGTCTAGCTATTATTAAGGAAAGTTATTCGTCGTCACTCAGCTATTCTCCTCATCAGTTTTAAGATAACAAAATTTTCACTACTGGCCGTGATGTCCAAATGACTTTGCGGACTAAGCGGATAAGAAATTACCTAGATCAGTAAAATTAATTTGATTCGCTTTCACTATCAGCTCAAGAATATCAAAATATTGATTCATATCAGGACTCTTTCTGTTTATGCAAAGTAGAGGAAAATTAATATAGTTAGTAAACAAACTTTGACATAGTTAGTATAGAATTAAAGTATCGCATCTAAAAGAATCGAAAGAAGCTGTTTTTTCGCTAACAGGCAATTTTTTATAAGTGAATCATATCATCTGTTAGTTGCAAGTGCACTTTGGCGAATAGGAAAAATTTACTAACCGTTTGTGCGTCGGTTTGGAAAAGGACAAAAAGTATTAATTCCTCGCTAATACCAGGGGTAACCTATAAATAAACTTAATTTGCATGAAGGACTTTGTGTTGTATAATTCATTATGTTATCAATCGTGATCGTAAGTAATGGTATATTTTTCAGATATAGCTAATCATAAAAAGCAAGAAAATATCCTTGCTTCTTTGATCAGGAAAACTTGTATTTTTGCATACATACGAGTGACAAAAATTGCATGGCTTCAGTTCAGAAAATGTGTTAGCCTTGCTGTGAAAAAGAATATTTCTCGCGAGGAAGAATATCTCATTGCACGAGCTATACGTAATGAATTGTTGCTGATGTCAAATTTGACTTAGTAGATTTCATTTCTGTTTCTGTTTTACTTAAATCTAAATTTTTAATGCTCAGACAAAGCTATAGAAGTAAGAAGAAAAATGACACTCCCTTCGCGAAAATTTCGACAAGTGGAAAGTAACTGAAAATTCAGTATAAGGAACACTAAATAAACAACGCGTGGAATATTCACATATACACTCTATTAAGCCTTGAAACTCTTATGGTAACCAACTCAGTATACTTTTTCGTTACAGCTACCTGTCTACAAGATGACGAGCTTTGCCTTCATGACTGGCGCGATTTTCCTTTTAAATCAATTTGTACCACATCAATGTCAAGGTAAAGCATTAGCGAAATTAAGATATGAGGCCTCGAAACTAAAGCCGGTCGCAGTAATATACATTCTGAACTAAAAGTCACTCGAGTCCTTCCAGTGTGCGGTGACGTTTTGCGAGTTTTTGTTCACGCGCACCATTTACGCCGAATGTTCAACACGTTGAATAACTTGCAATGTCTTACAAATTTGCATATTATGTTCTTTTTTACTGCAGGGATTTGCTCTCTTTGGGCGCATGGAATAAATTGGTGCAAGAGTGCGCACTTACCCCACGTGTGCACGAAAAGATAACAGATTCCTGCAGAAAAAAAATAATGAACATATGCAAAATTTGTATAACATTTGAACATTTTTCTATGCATATTAGCTTGCTATGACAAAAATTTGCTCTCTGCACCCACACTCTACGCACTTATTGAACGTTGAATATTCACGGACAGCAAAACGTCTCCGCACACTGGGGGCACTTGCTTAAGCCTAGCCTCCACATGCACGTACTGTCAGTGCGGCCGATTTGGCGCATTCTGGGTGACTCGAAACTGGTCGCTGATGCCGACAGTAGAATTGTAGTCTACTTTCAAGGCGGCCCGTCAACGCCGGAACGTGCGATTCGCGTACGTATATAATCCTATACCATGCAGCGCCAACCTTTGCACAGATTGCATTAATATCAACTTCCCAACTAAAGTATTCATCTTACTCAACTCCTAAACATTTTATAGATCTATACCATTTTAATGATTTATTCTTACAGACCGTTGCTTGTTAAAATTTGATGACTCCAAATTTTGCTTCCAGAATTTCATTTATATGCTTCTGAAAACTGAAAATTCGCGTCGCGTTGCCGCTTTGCGCCGTGGTCTGTAAAGGCCCTAGCTTAAGCTAATCTTCACGCGTGACTTTTAACTCAGCAGAATGCTCTCGTGTGCAGCAGGTTTGGGGTTATAAGTATAGAGTTATACACACTGGAATACACATTCAAAGGAGAAAAGAAAATTCGAATAAGAGAAAGAGATACGCTTACAACGCCTGATTTACATAATCACACTCGGTGACTCGAAACTGGTCGCTAAGCTGGCCGTCTTTGTACGTATAACACGTTTATTGTTAAGCCTTGGTCAAACGGCCGCAACATTTTGTTGCAACATCGTCCAACAATGTTGCAGCAAAATGTTGCGGTCGTTTGACCACCCTTTTACAGAATGTTGCATGATGTTAGAACATGTTGCGTTGAGTTTGACTCCAGTGAAATTTTAACGCAACATTTTGTCACAATTTCTGGAGTTGCGATCGTTTGACCACTTGCAAACAACATTGTTGTCGTTGGGCATGCGCATCAGACGTTCTTGGCATAAAATTTGAATACAAGATGGCGGCCATGTTGCTCACCTAGGCAACATATGCCGGGATTTGCAACATATGCCGGGATTGGCAACATGTGAAAGATGACGAAGGTTGGTACGGTTTGACCAGTCTGGTCGAATATGATGACAACAAGCCGCAACATGTGCCAACCATGTTGCATGATGTTGCAACAAAATGTTGCGGCCGTTTGACCAAGGCTTTATGAAATGGGAATGTCCTTTGGCTTAGAACATCGCAAACAAAATGTGTAATGGCGCAAATGCATTCCAAAAGTTTCAATTTAATTCCTAGATGGGTCGCTAAGGTTACAAGGGCCATCAAGTTGGAATGGTGCTGGCCGTATCGAAGTATTGCACAAAGGACACTGGGGAACAATCTGTGATGATGGATGGGATATGAAAGATGCTAAAGTCGCATGTCGTCACCTTGGTTATAAAGATGTTGCAAGAACTCTTCAGAGGAACGAGGTTCCTTCAGGCTCTGGAAATATTTGGCTAGTTGCTCTTGATTGTACTGGAGATGAAGAAAATATTACAAGCTGTTATCATAATGGATGGGGGATTCATTCTTGCTCTCATACTCAAGATGCTGGAATGAAATGTTCTACAACGGGTATAAATATAATAATATTCTTGTAATTTTCCAAGATGACAACAAATAAGTAAATTAGCTAGTAATGGACCTTTTGCATAATAAACCAACTTTTGATTTAGGCAACAAAAAGGAAATTTCCGAAAAGTGCGTACTAAATTTAGTAAAATTACCAAGTTTGGCTGCAAAATATTGTAAAGTACGGAAAATATAGCCATGCGAAGTTGCCAATTTTGTATACTTTTTTACTATGGCCGGAAGTTTGTAACTAAATTAGTTAAACGCTTCCGGCCGTAGTAAAAAAGTATACAAAATCGGCTACTTTGCATGGCTATATTTTCCGGAATACTTGACATTTTGCGGCCAAACTTGGCAATTATGCTATAATTTCGGTATGCTCTTTTTAGCTGAGGTGATTTATTTCCTTCTTGTTACCTAGATCACAAGTTGGTCTATTATGCAAAAGGTCCATTAGACCACGTAAGTATTTAATATCGTAAAGCTTTCGGTCTGTTAACACGGACCTATTGCATTGATAAAGGCTTGGGTTAACGGACCAAAAGCGTTGCAGTATTAAATACTTAAGCATTGTACCTATATAAGTATTGATATATTTCAATAATTTCGATGCTTGGAATGAAATTTTAACACGCACACTTGCTTAAGGTGGCTCTCTACAGTTTTATGTTACAAAATCATTAATAAATGAAATAATGTTATTGTTTATATCAGCAACATTTTGGGGCAGGAATCAGGGGCGGATTGATTTGCATATTTAATTCTCATTTTATTGCCTAAAAATACGTAAGCCGCGCGACTGACTGGACTTACCCCAGATCCGCCCCTGCAGGAATTGTAATCACCGAATTCCAATAAAATATTTTTGCACCAAAACGTGGTTAGATAGCCATACACACGTGTTTTCGCGCAATGAAATTAAAATCCTCATTTTTTGTGATGTCATGAATATAAAAATAATCGTATATTTTTCGTGTTTCCTTCGGTAAATATTTTTAAAACTTCTCTGACTTCCCTCTATAATATCGAGGTGCGTAAAATATGCCAGTTTTAGGAAAATCGTACAAGCCGATTTGTTTTTTCCTAAAAAAGTTTTTTTCAGGATTACAAATCAAGTGCTCGTACCAATATTTTAAATGCTATCATTTAAACTAATATGCAAATACTGCAAAGCTTTCGGTACGTTATCCCGGGCCTTCATCAGTGCAATTAATTAATTTATTAAGAAATTTACGTATCTGAGGACACTTATCAAACTTACAATAAAATTATGTGTGCAAGTGTGCAACCTAATTAAAACTCTAGACAGCCACCTTAACTATGCAGAAAATATATATATATATATATATATATATTAATATATATATATATATATAAAATAAAATCAATGAAATATTACAAAATTTTGAATATATTGTTCGCTACACTCTGTGTTTCACGTTTCTTCTGAAACGATCATCAAGCGAATGATTACTCTACAGCAGTTAAAGTTTGTGTGATTGTGATCACGTTTTTTACTTAATTTTTTTATTTATATATATATTATATATATATATATATAATATATATATAATATATATATACAAGTATATATAATATTTTATATTATATATATATTATTATATATATATATTATATATATATATATTTATATATATATATATATACAACATGTGTAAAACAATATATATATATATATATACACCCGTTTGCAAAAACGTTGGCCGCAGATAGATATATAAATAGATACTCGAAATCTAATTAGAATTGCATATGTTGTGTAATATGATTGAAATCCCATGAAAATGTAATCATATGCAATTCTAATTAGACTTTGAGTATCTATCTATCTATCTATCTGCGGCCAACATTTTTGCAAATGGGTGTGTATATATATATATATTAATATATATATATATATATATATATATATATATATATATACAGTATAATATATATATATATATATATATATATATATATATATATATATACAGTATAATATATATTGTTATAACATAACTATTCCCTGTATACTTGTTACGCAAGGCTTTATTATGTTTAGTTATATGCATACAAAAATAGTATAAAAACAGCTGCAAAAATAGGAATAACAAGAGCATGACAGGGATTAGTGATTAATTTTTGCCGCAAGACGCCTGAGTAAATATAATTTCGGCCCATTCGCAACCATTAATCGCCTTTCCCTTTCATGTATGACATATCGTGGGATTAAATAAGTAATAAGGTGAAAATAAATATAATCCTCTCAGAATTAATACCTGGATAAACATTCGTAAGTCGTCACTTATCTTAATGGTCGCATTCTTTAAAAAAAGTGTGCGCGCTGTAGGCCATTCAAGTTCATATGTCAATCAATTGTGTTAAAAATGTTGCTCGGTCAAGCATGTAATAGATTACGTCATCACAAGTTCAATTCGATAAAATAAGAGTGAAAATAGTTTAAGTTAAAAGATATTGTTCACAGACGTATTGTTGGTATATTTTACTAGTTGTTGATGATGAATATTTTAAGTTGTGAACATTTTTAAGTATTGATCGATTGAGCAGAAGACCAACTCGACTAGTGCGACAACGCCTTAAATAAACAAGATATGAGAGCTGGAACGAGCTTCTAAGACCAACCCACTGGTTACATGTACAACGCTGATTGGCTGGATAAGGATCAGCCCACTATGGTTGATGACGTATGCAAGAGTCACTGAACCCTCATTATAAAAGGGCGTGCACAGCACCTGAACCTTCAGTGGACTAGCGGAGTAAAGATTAACTTATGAAACGTTAAGAAGCTCAACCTACAGGACAGACGACCAAAGACAAGAACGCAAAACGACGAAGATAGAGAAGTAGAGAAGAGAAGAACGGAGAAAGAAGAGAACATTAGCGAACTTTAGTTAAAACTATTGTAAAGATCTCGTACCTCGCGTATCAATTAAAGAAACCTTATAACAACTTGGTGGAGGAACGGCCTCATGAGCAACCCGCAGGAACCGTACGTTCGATACATCCCTGTAGTATTTGTGCCAACGCCAACCGAAACGAACCCGGTAACAACCGCCGCCACCCAAACAGCAACGACAACAACAAAAGACGCGGCGACCCAAACGGAGAGTCCGTTAAGTTTGGAATTTGGGGAGTATATGCGAAAATTGCGACTCGAAGTTCCAAAGTCCCGCTACTGTGAGCCAGAATATCGTATAGTTCCAGCTGGATACGAAGACGATTCGGAAGACGAACTACTCCCAGTGTTGAGCTGGTCGTAAGTTGGCATATTGACTAAATCGATCAATTTACATACTTTATATTCTTCTCTATATAATAACGTTGCTCTATATCTAGTCTAGTAATATGTTTTACATATAAAAGAGAGTTTTACAGTTTAATGAGCGTAGCAGAATCTAGTTCTGAAAACGACGAGCCAATTGCTAGGCGAACGCGATCTCATAACATTAAGTTCTCTCGGGTTGGACCCTGCGCGTTGGTGTACACGAAACTGTACATCTTTGGGTGGGAACGAGCCTTCTGTTCTTTTGGATACTTCTGATTCAGATACTTCCCTCTCTTCATTGTCATACTTAGAAACCGAATTTCCTGCTTTTCCCAGGGCCCCAATAATGGATGAGCATGCCCAAGCCTTACCACAGGGTCTCCTCGAATTACTACAACAAATGACCGACAGACTACAGGAACAACAAAATCAAATTGTAGGGGCGCCTCCCAGAGCTAGTGGTCTTCCACCGCCAGTTTTTCGTGGTTCCCCCACTGAAGACTACGATGAATGGTTACAAAAATTTAACAGTTATGCTACATTTAATGGGTGGACCCCTGAGCAACAGTTAAATGGGTTTATAATGTTTCTTGGTGGTAGCGCGCTACGCGTTTGTCAGCGTCAAACTGATGAAGTTCGCGCAGATTTAGAAGCGTTACAAGATGCTTTAAGACAAGTATTTGTATCACCACATCAACAGTTCCTCCGGCGCCAAGAACTAAATAACCGCACGCAAGGTCCAGTAGAGCCGCTTGAAAGTTACCTTGATGATGTTGACGCTAGAGCAGCGCGATTACAGCTTACAGATGCAGAAACTATGCAATGTTTTGTTCAAGGACTACGTCAAGATCTGAAAGAGCATGTTATTTTGCAGCTACCAGATACATATGCCGCCGCTGTTGATGCCGCGCGTTTGAAAAATTCGCTTTCGCATCCAATAACTGCAGCTCTAACAAGCCCAAGTTCGCGTACCTTAACGCCTATAGATTTTGTTTCGTCGCACTCAACAGCACACGTTCAAACAACACGTAATCCTCATAGCCATTCTGATCAGTTTCCGAATTACGTTACTCGTGAAGAATTTACGAGGTTACAAAATCAAGTTCAGGCTACTTCGCCGATTCCAAGATCGAGAGTAGGACCGGCACAATTAGTTTCAAATGCTTACAATACTTCACGTAATCGTCGCACTACGGATGGGCGACCAATTTGTAATCGTTGTAATAGAGTCGGGCATATTGCAAATCGATGTTTTGTAAATTTGAACCGCCCAAATTTCTCACAGGGCCGAACAAATCTTAATGCGCCCAGAGGCTCATTATTTCAGCCGCAACATTACACACAGGGACAAACTGTAAGAAACAACTTTCAAAACCACCCAAAATCAAACCTTTATTCAGCAAGGCCTACCCGCTTTCCAGCATTGCCACCACCTCCCCCACCCCCACCGCCGATGAATGTATTACAGCAAGAAGCTGCATATACCTCTAATCCATACCACGACGAACCCTGTTTTCTCTTTGCACGGAAACGTCCAAATCCAAATAATACATATATTTGTCAGAAACTTCGCAAAACATATTATTTGACTGTGGCTGGAAAAATCGAAGGCATTGATACTAATATTCTCATTGATACGGGTTCGGCTATTACCGTTATTAATCAAGCTTTCTGGGAGAAAATTCGACAAAATTCGAGATTGGCTTTAGGAACA